TCGATAAGGATCCTCGATGGAGGACCACTGGTATTGACTGGTTTGCTGTGAGTGTGAGATTTTTTTGTTCTACGTAGATAATATAGACATACAGGACATTTGGTCCGCCTGTTTTTGACTTGACTAGATTCGATGATTCCACTTCCACATCATGTGATTTATAAATTGTTTATATTGATACTTCGAAAGAGTGTGCAGATGTGAGCTTAGCAGGCTGTAATATAAATCTAGGCTGCCCCATACATTTTATTAAATCATCTACGACTTTAAAATAAATATTGCTTTTACGACATACGTTACCAATTAAAAAAATATTCGTATCAAAAAAAAATAGGTACCGAGAAATAAAAAGGAACAACGCTAGTGGCTCCGTTACTTTTTTCGTAAGTTATCAGAAGTTCAGTAGGTAAACTTTCATGTACATACATTCCAGTTCTATTCAGAAGGTCTTCGGGAACAGCTCCACTGGCTGAACACCACATATGACATAAAGGAGATTGTCATCACTGAGAATGGTATACCAACGCTTGATGATGGACTTGTGGACATCCTCAGGCTGGACTACTATAAGGAGTACTTGGAACAGGTGTGTTAGTATGTCTAGTCTAGATACTTTTGCAAACTCCTGCCCACCTTGCCCTATTCCCTCGGATTTCGTAACAGTGTAGCGCTCTCTGATGAACCTGAACTGTTTAAACTGCGATTTCCCACCCCCCCTTATGGACAGAGATTATGGCAAACTCCTTCTTATATAGAGAAGGGTCATAATCTACATCTAGCATTTTATTGTCACGGATTGGGGATGTGATGTGAACAGCGAAGTGTGCGTATTGCCATCTGAAGTAGCAATGAGAGAGCTACATCGCTTATAGTACTAAACACCGACGGGTTAAGGAAGTGCTTGCGTGGTGACACACAGGCAAATAGCATGGGCAGCCTCCTGCTAGGTGGACCGACGACATCGACATGGTAGCGCGGAGTTAATAGTATATTGGTGTCGTTCGACGTGGATGACTATGAAGGAGACTGGGAGGCCTCTGTTCCGCTCAGAAAACGTCTTCTGACTAATAATGCTGATGATTATATTTAAGTACGTAACATTTCCTCACCCTGCGGTTGGCTGGTAGAGAATGCAATCTGGCATTAAGCGTGTGTTAAAATAAATAAATAAATATAATTTTGTCACTAACACCTACTCCAATACGTTGATAAGTAGATTCTTTGTTAGTAACGCGATTTTCTCTTGTTTCTCCAGATCCTGCTGGCTATCAATGACGGAATCAACGTGACTGGGTACGCCGCCTGGACGCTGATGGACAACTTCGAATGGATGAGTGGATATTTGTAAGTTATTGAAAAATGACACCACCCTCGCCGACTAAGAAACTATACATTTGACAGAAACTGTATAGCAACGCTCTCTGATAAAATAAACCTGAACCTATTAACTCGTCGAGTACCGGTTTTGTAGACACAATTATAGAACAATAGGTTGCGGTCACCGGTGACCGCTTGGTGTTTGACAGTACGATTGCGATCCCAAACTTTACTTTTAAACTTAAGTTAACGAATTTTACTTTATCATCACCAAACGTCTAGCTACACAATTTTTAGGCATTAAACAAAATAGGTACGAATGTGTTTTTTTTTTTGGGAAAGCCTGTAAACGAGCAAACGGATCACCTGATAGTAAGCAATCGGCATCGTCCATGAACACTCGAAATACTAGAGGCTTTGCAAGTGTGTTGCCGGCCTTTTGGGGCTAGGAATTTTATGATTAGGTATTGGGGATTCATCAACTGAGGAGATTGGGGATGGGGTACTTGGGCTTCTGGTAACTTCAACACAACGCAATCGTTGTTTCATGTCAGTTTTCTGTGAGGCCGTGGTATCGCTCAGGTCGAGCCGGCCCATACGTGCTTGGCTGTGTCACATTTCAAAACTTTTGGCAATAGGCCTAAAAAACTATTTTTATATGTATCTAGATTCTAATAGTTTTGTTGACACCGTATTATTATTGGCTTAAACTATAAAGATAAGTGGGTACCTACTTGTAATTACTTTAGTTACTATTAGTAATTAAGTAGGTACTTACTCGATTTTGTTTTATTGCTATTGATAGGCGATAGGTACCTACATTAAATAAGTCCTGAGTTTAATGTTTTTTACCGAACCGTTTCAGTGCTTAGGTACCTATAAATAAAACGTAATAAATAGTCCCAATAAATACTTAACCCGTTGAAATCCACCCCCTAAATTTGGTCATACAAAAGTAGTCTCTAAACATTACAAATAAGGTCTATAATGTAATGTAATATTAGTGGAAAGCGGTCACCGGTGACCGCTTGTATACAACCTACCAGTTTAATTTATTTGTTTTTTTTTTCTTTTTTTCAGCTCAAAATTTGGCCTTTACGCCGTAGACTTCACGCATCCGAATCGAACCCGCACGCCGAAAGAGTCAGCGAGATATTATTCCCAAGTCACAAGAACTAGGATGGTACATCCAGTTGTAGATGAAACTGAATTAAATTACGTTAAATAATGTTCTAATTTGTATTTATTTTAAAATAAATTACACTACCTAAGTACCTCTACCTGATATTTGTAATTATTTATTTACTTCCACCTAATGAACTGGTAGATGTAGTCTCATTTACTATTAGATTTATTATTCTTATAGATAACCAGAAGATTGCATCAACGATGTGATTATAAAATTAAATATACTATAAAGTTCAAACAATAAAAATAACAACTTCTTTTTTATCTTTCATAAAAATGCAAAAACAAAACGGAGATACGTTCCAGTACACGTAAGATTAGCCTCTGGTACGCCGGAGCGTAGATCAACGCGAGACACAATGCGTTTTCTATAGTGAAGTGAGACTCAACGCGTGTAAATATCGACATACAAGAGAATAAACTCTAGTCAAACCATAGATTTATAAATATAACATAGATGTCTGGCTATTGTCTACGGGTAGAATTTAGGATCCATCTTGACGGTAAATTCATAAACATACTGTTGTTTCTTTTTTACTTATGTCTCTTTGCTTTTGCAGAAAGAGACAACACATTATTGTCATTCTGGCCATAATTTTTTGACGTCATCAGAAAAACCTAGTTGTGCCGAATTGGCCATCTTAGTCCCTGTTATCAGTGCATGTCAGTGGTACATCAGCTGTCAAAGCATTGGTCAACAATATTTTGTTACGAAAATTTGTAGAATTCCTGTTGTTTTTGTGCGTGGTAAACAAAGAAATTATTGGTTAGTGAGAAGAACTATGCCCGGGTGCAGTGTTATTGGATGTAGCACTAAAAATATTACTAAACCGGCAGGTGTAACATTACATCGGTAAGTACTGTTATTTTTCATTAAAATATCTCTGTTTTTCAAACTATTCAAGTGTGGTTGCTGCAAATTGACTAAATACAATACTTTTCTAACTAATGCAGTGCTTATTTTCATTAATTTTAGTTGAAATACGTCTAAAACAATTTTCATTAAAAAATAGTGATGTACATGATTGTTCCCGTATCGATAATTTTATCGTACATAATAAATGCGTCAAAAGTAGAACAAAGAACTATACTAAATTCTGAATGATAAAGTGCATTAATTTGACATAATGACAAAATACAAAAAACATTAAGTACTCGTCAAAAATTTCATTTTATCGACAAAATTCCACCATCGTCAATACCTACGTAATGTAATAAATAATTAATACAATAGAGAATAATTTTTGTACAATATGAGATAAGGAATAATATTGTGGGAAATGCATTTTTGTCAAAATTGATTTTTTTATCAAATGCCGCTCGACGGATTCAAATGAAACAAACAAATGAAATATAACTTTAGGGTATTCTTAGAGTATTTATTAGAATGTGTCGAACTCTGCCGATAATTTTAATAATATTATAAATTTTCTTTTTAGTTTGTGCTTGAACCACGCAGAAGTTCTTGGCTGGAAATAATTAATGTGGGAAATATAGATACTAGAAGGAAACATATCTTTGTTTGTTAACTTTATTTTGAAGATTAATGTTTTAACCGAACAATAAATTAATAGTAAATCTACGTGATGGGGCCCTATCGCTACAAGCTCTATTGGTAAATCATAATGTAAACGATTCATTATGTGTTTTGTTATATTAGTTTTGGAAGCATTTTTTGAAGAGGTGCAAACTTAACATTTTATTTAACATTTATATTAAGTTCATAACTAACCGGGTTCTTGTACCTATATGTTTCTGTTTTCCTCCGCTATCTATCACTATCATTGTAATGTACAAACATTTTCGTTCAGAGCTTAGTACAGTACCTATAGAATCTATAGAAAAATCTATGTTCAATTGGATCAAGTAAGTTAAATTATACTATTTATGTTGCAGCCTCTAGCCAGATATGTGCATGAAAATGAACTTGGAACCAGTTCTGGAGTCTTCTTGAAAGATGGTTTTGCAGATTACATTACAGGGAAACTACGAAAAATACGAAGATATTGTATATTATAAATCTTGATTTTATGCATACTTTGATACAGTTTTATTTTTCAACCTTCAAAAATTACTTAACCTTAAGTATATAAATATTGACCAGTTGATGGAAAATCCTTTTCATGAATTTCGATACATAAGTATCGTGAAAGTTATGATGTGAATGTATAGGCACGATCGACTGGAGTGACAGTGCACGCAGCAACTACTAAATATATTTCGCTAATATGTTGGCAATGTTTAGCAGCTAGATAAAAATTAAAACCAATTCTAAAATATCGATATTTCTACAGTTTTAAAAGTTACATCCCTAGTTCTATCCGCCATTACAGGTGACCAAGTGAAGTGTATGTAGGCACGATTTTTTCCTAGTTGTTTCTTATCCATACTCTTATCATATCAGTGAGTCAAACCCATGTTTCTTTACACGTAATCTATCCAACTAAAATGACAATCAACATTCGGTCGTGAATTTGACGCTTTGGTTTGGTTGACAAATTTGACATTTTGCGTTGGAACTCTACGTATTTGTCAAATTGTCATCGTATCGTGATATTATCAAATAAAAATTATAATTTCATCAAAAACATTGCTCTAATAAGTCCATATGTTTACAATTAGACGTCGAAACTCTCGAAAACGACTTTGGAAATTGCTACCTACGTAAACGACTTCTAACTTTTTAGTTTAATTTAGTGAAAATGTCGAAGATTAAGAAGTTGACGGGCTCGTTTCGCTATACCCAGTGGGATCCTTGCTTGATAGTCTCGCAGATAGTGGCTATGCAGTCCGTATTGTACTGCTCGTTATGTCTCATTATCGCCCTCATGCAAGATCTGACAGGATCTACAAGAACCTTGGACCATATCTTCGAATATCACGTAAGTCTGTTGTTTACTTTGTTGTTTGTTGTTAGGAGACAGAATAAAATACATTTGTCACCTCTGTGAGTGTCTTAGGAACCGACTAAGAGTACACACATGATAGGGACGGGGCAGTACTCTGATAATACTGAAGAGAAGAAGCCCATAGCTTAGCAGTGGGCTGCCAAAGGCCGTGTTGTTTGTTGAGATACTTAACTATGCACTTATAAGGGTTTGCTGGCATTTTTTCTTACAAGATGTGTTGTGTGGGTTATTTAATTCTTCAGGATTGTAAAAGGTTTTAAAGTCAATGAATGGCTTCATTTGAATGAGTCATTATACTGAAACACTACTTTTATTAAAAACTGGCTGTTGTGCACAGCTTCGAATAAGATTATGAATTTTAGGACATACAATTTTTTTGTTTCAAAATGAATGTAGTGTATTTTTCTCCTTAGTATATTGGCTATGTTCTAATAAAAGGTAACCGTCAAAGTCATTCTAGAGATTTGCCAGTACAAACAGACAGACAAAAATTATAAAAACAATATTTTGGTATGCATATCATAATTATGTATATTCATATCGAGGGGTAACGGACCATTTGGTTTAAGCAACATTTTGGGCGATATTGAGTTATATACATATTCAACAGAGAAAAATTCGCTAATTCCGAATAGTCCGTTACCCCTCGATATTTTGGATGTAGTAAAAATCGATTATATTAATATTACAGACACTCCAATTATATTTATCTGTATAGATTTATTTTAACTAGCTAGCAATACATTTATTTGAAAACTGACAACTGCAGGTTGCCCGACCTTGAGGTTGTTAACCTCGAATCTTGATATAACTTAGAACAATTACTTAATACAATTTGTTTGATTATGTTTTAGGAGATACACATACGTGACAATGAGGGTCGCTCGGTCATATTTGCATTTGTAGTGAATGCAATTATTGGAGCCTTCGTACTGTGGATGATTGTCGGCAGAACTAAACTGTGCTTGGACTTTAGGTATGGTGTAATCTAATTGAATAGTATGCAAATAATTAGTCAATATAAAATCACACCTTTTACTCTCCAAGGGAGGTGCACATTATGGCACTTAATGCCACTGTACAATGTAACACCCATTTTCCACTATTTATGTTATGAGTCCCATGTAATAAAGGGTATTGGTATATACTATTTAACTAATGATGAATAGATGAGACAGTCTACATTTCTACAGTATTCAAGAACTTATTTTCAATAAACAATTTAACATAACATCACGCCTTTTATCCCGAAGGGGCAGAGGAAGAAGGCAGAGGTGCACATTACGGCACTTAATGCCACTGTACAATGTAACACCCACATGGTACTTTTCACTTATGTTTCGAGTCCCATGTAATAGGGGGTGAGCCAATTGCCATATACTGGGCACAATTCCAGACTCCGTGCTACTACTGAGATTTTTTTATGAAACCAGTAATACTTTGCCTGACCTGGGAATCGGACCCCAGACCCCTTGCCCGGCAGTCGCTCTTGCGACCATTCGGCCAACGAGGCAGTCTAAACAATTTGTTATTTATTTATTTTCTATTTTCACATTTCAGTTGCACATATCACGGTCTCCATCTCATTGCTTGCTGGATGTACAACGGTACATTCCCAACGACATTCTCCTGGTGGGCGCTCAGCGTATCCTGTGCCTGCATCACTTGTGTAGCCGGAGAGTTCCTGTGTCTCCGCACCGAGCTTCAAGCGATACCACTCAGTAATATAGGAGCCAAAGTAGATTTATGAAACTTATTTGGAGTGATCGTATTTGAAATTTGATGATTGGATGAACCTATTTTTGTAGACAATGAATGAGACAGTTGAATTTAAGATCGAAATGTTACAGCATTCTCCACTTTAATTGGTTGGTTTCTGTTATTGACCTTGCCCAAGTTTCAATAGAATCTTACTCTGACCGCAAGCAATACAATAAAAAAGAATTTGTGACATCGGTCCAGCCAGAAATTTATATTTCTGGATTATTTATGTACTGCATATTTCGTTTATGAAATACATGAGGCTTACACATGGTTAATTACAGTTTGTTCTGTACTTAAAACTTAAAACAATTTAGATTTGTTACTTGTTAATATCAAACAAGGTTTCAACATTGAATTGAACATACCTATGCAATTTGCCCTTTTTTGACGACTACAAAATATTATTATACAATAAGAGAAATCTACATATTACTTACTTTCCTAAACTCCTTTTAAAATGACACATTGTGTTTGCCATTGTTAAATAAACCTTATTTTGACTGAGATAACATCCTAAATTGTTGAGTAAATTGTGTATGTATGTGAATTGTAAATAATGGACGATATAATACTTATGTGCGTTGTAATAAGTGTAAATAAATAATTTCTAACTTATAATTCTTTTGTTTTAATTGGGGTGAGTTCGCTTCAAGCCAAACAAGTGAATTTTTTTATGGCATAAGCCGGTAAACTATCCGTCGGATCACCTGATGGTAAGCAATCGGCGTCGCCCATGGACACCTGGAACACCAGAGGCGTTACTAGTGCGTTACCGGCCTTTTGGAGATTAGGAGTTTGAAGACCGTTGGGGATTCAGGAATTACGGAGATTGGGGAAGGGGAGGGTAATTGGGCCTCCGGTACCCTCACTCACACGACGAAACACAACGCAAGCGTTGCTTTACGTCGGTTTTCTGTGAGGCCGTGGTATCACTCCGGTCGAGCTGGCCCATTCGTGCCGAAGCATGGCTCTCCCACACTTAAATCTGCAAATAGGCTACTAGTACTATAGGCAGCAGTTTTACACGTCAATTTACTTAATTCAGTCGTCCAACCTGATTAAATTCACTTCTTCGTGTCCACCCACCAGTTCGTGTCCATTTGACTGCACGGTAGGCACTGTGGCTGGGCTACTGGCTGCCACGCAACGTGTCGCTGGTTCGATTCCCGCACGGAGCAACTCTTTGTGTGATCCACAGATTGTTGTTCCGGGTCTGGGTGTCATGTGTATGTGAACTTGTATGTCTGTAAACGCACACACGACACAGGAGAAAATCTACGATTGTAATAAGATTGGTACTTAAAACGTAAAAAGATCAAACATATCTGTTCTAAATACTACCATCATTACACCTTTTTATCCTTGAAGGAGTAGGCAGAGGTGCATATTACGGCACTTAATGCCACTGCACAATGTAACACCCACTTTTCACCGTTTATGGTATGAGTCCCATGTAATAGGACGTGAGCCTATTGCCGTATACCGGGCACAATTCCAGACTCCGTGCTGATAATGAGATTTTTTTTAAAACCCAGTAAGACATTGTCCGACCCGGGAACTAAACCCGAGACCTCCACCCCCAATTAGGTACATGGGACTCATAATATACCTACCTATATAAATAGTGAAAAGTGGGTGTTACATTGTACCGTGGCATTAAGTGCCGTAGATAACGTGCACTTCTGCCTACCCCTTTGCCGTTTACCCATTAATCCTTTACTCGACCCGAAAACCGCAACCCCCTTTTTTTACGGTGGAAAAGTCATCGAATGACTGCTCCCGCCTGGGTGAGGCGGGAGGGAATGTCAGACTCTTACTGACTAAAAACCACCCCGTTCCTTCTCCTGCACGTCGAGCCGGAGCCCCGGTAACCCGTTAGGTTCTCCGCGACTTGTTCGACAGCGACCACACAACCGAGGTTGTCAATTTAATAAAATACTAATTATTTACTTTAGCAGTAACAGAGCATCGTACCTAAGACGTAAGCAGTATTTTATGACCGAACTTCGGTTCAGTATTCCGTCATAAAACTTAAAAATAACAAACAGCTTCATAAGTGACAAAAGCAACCTTATCTCTTTCTATTAGAGTTTAGTTTTAACTGGAATTTGAATATATTTACGACTTGTTCATTGCTGACGTGTAGGTAAATTGTTCTAAATTAATTACTAATTTAATTGGTTAGGTCTACTTAGTTTCGTAAAAAAAGAACTTTCGGATCGGCTGTTAAGTAGGTATCATGTTAAAAGTACCATGTAGGAGGTACTTACGAATTCAAAGATTTCAAATAAGTAATTCATTTATACGTATTTATATTCATTTACCAACGACAAGTACCAATGTGACTTTTCCGAGTTATGTGGACTTTCTAAGATTATTCAGACACCACTGACAAACGGTCACAAAAGGATAAAAAGTAGCCTATGTGACATATACCAATACACATAGCGCCATCTATAGGTACCAATACTTTTGTTTTCCCTCGGGAATATCAATTTTTTTCGGGATAAAAAGTACGGACTTCTAACTTTACTTCTGCAAAAATTCAAAGCAATCGGTTAAGTAGTTACGGCGTGAAAGCGGAACAAACAAACAAACTCACTCTCCGATTTATAATATTAGTAAGGATAACCGCCCTTTCTATGGGGTAGATGGACTCTTAATAACATAACATCACGCCTTTTATCCCCGAAGGTGTAGGCAGAGGTGCACACAGAAGTAACACCCACTTTTCACTATTTATGTTATAAGTCTCATGTAATAGGGGGTGAGCCTATTGCCATAGAATATAACGGGCACATTTCCAGACTCCGTGCTACTATTGAGATTTTTTTTTAAAACCCAGTAATACTGTTGCCATATACCGGGCACGGTATATGGCAATAGGTTCACCCCCTATTACATGGGACTCATAACATAAATAGTGAAAAGTGGGTGTTACATTGTACAGTGGTATAATGTGCACCTCTGCCTACCCCTTCGAGGATAAAAGGCGTGATGTTATGTATGTATGTAACGTAATGTAAGTTAAATATCTAAATAAAAGGCTATATTATTATTATATTATACCTTTGCGATATATTATACGATATATTATACCTTTGCGATAGAAAAAAATATAAATTGAATCTCATGATATTTCTGAGATATTTTGAGATCTGGGGTCTTACTCTTGAATCTAATTCCGATCGATCAACATTGGTATTGTGAAATTTCGTACTCTCGAGTTGCAACACTAGCGCCCATTGCACCTGTATTGCGTCGTGGATATTGAATGAACTAAATGGTATTGAGTTTGGCTTTATATTCCGTACTCTGAATGCCATTTCGACAGCTGCGGTAGGCGTTGTATAGTTTTGACATTTAATCATTATTGAAATTTTATTGGATTGATATTGCATTGACATTGAGATTGGTTTCAAGAGTAAGCACCCAGGTCCATTTTCCAAATTGCATTCCTTACTTGTGACTGTTCTGATAAGGGTGGTAAATACCTATCTACGGAACCTTCAATATGTCAGTCCGATTCTTACTTAACGAGGAATTTGATAAAGTATTTTATTACATTATTTAACAGTATTTTTATATCCTGCGTAGAAATAACAAGATTTTGGGTCTTTCCCATGTTTTCCAACATGTCTTCGTTCAAATGGGGGAAATGGGTATTTTTGTGGCGTCTTCCCCCGAACTTGTAATCGGGGGATAACGGGGAGTAAGTTTCATTTGTCCCTGAAATACTTAAGTACGTCAATTTAATTTTATTAACCGACTTCAAAAATGAAGGAGGTTCTCAATTTAGGTATGTTTGTAACCTATGGAGTTTCTTGCTCGTTCTTCTCCATAGGAATCTACGCCTTGGAATGAGCAAATAGCTTCACTTTCAATTTTTTTTTGTTGACGTTCAAAAGTGCCATTCTGGCCTAATAGAAATAAATGATTTTGACTTTGACTTTGTATGTACGTATATTTGTGTGCGATATGCGGTTTTCAGAAAAGGGTTTGCTACGCTTAGAAGGTTTTAGTTTATTAATTTAGGGGGAAGTCCCTTAACGCCGGACGGCACCTAACGCCGTACGCTTGTATTATCTCTATAACTATCGAGGGCTGGGCTCGCTGCCATCGCAGCGGTAAGTCCCCTCTTTGAGGAGTGGCTTGAGAGACGCTACGGCGTCCTCACCTACCGCCTGACGCAGGTCCTCACCGGACATGGAAGTTTCGGGAGGTACCTGTGTCTGATGGGGCGGGAGGAAACGCCCGGGTGTCATCACTGCGAGGACCGCCCTGAGGACACGGTGGAACACACGGTGGGAGAATGCCCTTCGTGGGCTGAGCACCGCCGTGTCCTCAGGGAAGTGATCGGCGATGGCGACCTCTCGCGTCCGGGCCTAGTGCAGGCCATGATGCGGAGCGAGGGGGATTGGGATGCCGTCTCCTCCTTTTGCGAAATAACTAATAACGCGAGCAATTCAATTTTTAGGGGGAAGTTTCCCAGTGGCTGCTTGCTTGCTTCACCTAATTTCACTGACGGACTGACTGACAGACTATTATTTATTTTGTATTTGTTGACGTTTCAAAAGTACCAAACTATGGTTTAATTGAAATAAATGCTTTGACTTTGACTTGACTTTGACTTTGACTTTGTGGCAGACACCTAAGATTTTTAGTAAAAATTGAATCGCTCGTGTTATCTATGATCAAGATAATACAGGCATACGGCATTAGGTGCCGTCCGTCGTTACGGGACTTCCCCCTACTGACTTCGAAGCAAGAGGGGGTTAAAGTCGGTTTTTTTAAATAAAGTGAATTATGATAGAATTATTTATGCCACCACAAACAACATAACACAATCATATTTACTTACTAATTTTCTTTAAATCAACCTTATTATTGAGAAGGGATACTCATTCAATGGCTTCTCTCGCCTGGGTTAAGCGAGACGGAGTGTCAAACTCTTACTGACTAAAAAACCACCCGGTTCATACTCTTACTCTTCGAACCGGAGCCCCGGCAACCTGTTGGGCCCCATCTTCTACATTCTGTGCTCAAACGCATAATGACATAATAATTTGCCAGACCCGAGAATCGAAACCGGGACCCCTTGCTGGGCAGTTGCACTTGGACGAATCTAAGAATAATTACTATGACTACTAAGCATTCTAAAAATATATTCCAATTATTGTGGAATAAAAGAGTGGAATTCTTTGCCAGAGTCTATATTTCCTGAAGGGTACAACCTGGGAGTCTTCAAGGCCCGAGTGAATAAGTTGCTTATGGGACGACGTGCTACATCGTAGATCGCATCATCGCTTACCAACAGGCGAGATAGTGGTCAAACGTCGCCCCATCAAATATAAAAAAAAAAGTTTTAGGTACTAGACGTTTTAAACAAATACCGATTCAACAATTTGTAGGCAGCGCATATACCTATGGTTGACTGTAGTAGCTATATAATGTGTCTTATAGGTGTGTAGAGTTCACAGTAATCAGTCACCATGTTGTGGGCCACTGCTCTTTTTCTTTGGTGAGTCAAATCAGTGTATTAATTTACCAATTTCAGAGTGACTTCAGCCAAAGATCTTATTTAGTACGTTGATATTTATATCGTACCGTAATTTAAGTTCATATAAAAGTAGTCTCTAAACACCGGAAATAAGGTCTATAATGGAGTTAGTGGTGTGGGGTCACCGGTAACCGTTTGCGGATTGAACAGTTCAACTTAAAAAAATGTATATATGTATGTATGTGCGCTATTATCTCGCGATTGGGTTAACCGATTTTGATGCAATTTTCAGAAAAGTGTTTCTTTATTACATTTAGAATTTAAGTAGTATGTTAACTAATCGACTACAAATTAAAGAGGGGGTCGAAGTCGGTTTATTTAAAGAATTATTATTATATAATTCTAACGACTTTTTCTCAACTAAGTTGGGATTGAGATACCTACCTGAGGTCTTAACCTCACCAACAGTCTGTGGTAGTCTGACATCCAATGATATCTTCCGCCCGGGTGAGGCGAGAGAGAGTGTCAGACTCTTACTGACTAAAAACCACCCCGTTCCTACTCCTGCACTTCGAGCGCCGGCAACCCGTTAAGTAATCCACAGCTCCGTATCGGCATCAGCCCTGTTAGGCCCCATCTGTGGTGGCAGGCTAATGTTGGATTCCAAGCCTACACAAGAAAGTTACGCATAATCTTCACGTTTAGTTTTCAGTCTCTTCAGCCCCCTTTCCGAGCTGTGGACTGTCGCAGATTTGCAGGATGGCTTTGTCCACAGGCTTCGCCGACTTCAGATTATACACGCACACCGCATCGTTTCTCTTCCACGGTGCTTGGCGACTGCACTTCTCCCAGTTGTGTAGTCTCTTTTCTGCCTATAGGCTTAAGTAACTCTGTCTCCTGCATTCAATTCACCGAGAGACGTGGAAACTACAGAATTTCTTTTTGTGTTATACTTAATATCTTCTGATTCATATCTTGGATCCAAGGTAAGTCCCTGGGACGGGCCGGACTTCAGCGTTACGGTGTTTTCATAGTTGATAAGAGTTGTCGCGGTTTTGGGAGGTTATGGCGGGGTTATCTCATAAAAATAATTAGGTACTTAAGCTGCTACCTACTCATGTATTCCTTATCTTCTGAATCCAGGATCTCGTGCTCAGTGGCACTTGCAGCCAATAGCTCATTATGTGGTCAGCAAATGTCTTTCCCACCTTGCTTCAAATTCGGAGCTTCATCAGCCGCATACCAGATCGAAGGCGCATGGAATGTTAGCGGTAAGTGGAATTTAAATATTGTGGTATCATAGTAGGTACCCCTAGGTATTTAGTAATACAATTGGACTGACTGACTTGACTTAACTGCCTCATTGGCCGAGTGGTCGCAACTGTGATTGCCGGGCAAAGGCTTTCCGGTTCGATTCCCGGGTTTTTTTAAAATCTCAGTAGTAGCACGGAGTCTGGAAATGTGTCCGGTATATGGTAATAGGCTCACCCACTATTACACCCATGTAACACATGGGACTCATAACATAAATAATGAAAAGTGGGTGTTACATTGTACAGTGGCAGTGAGTGCCGTAATGTGCACCTTTGCCGACCCTTCAGGGATAAAAGGCGTGATCTTATATCTTACATTAATACAATTGGAGTTTACAACAATAAAATAACATGACGCCTTTGGCCTTTTGCAAATAGGTTCAAACTAGCATTTTACATGTAAACAAATGTAATATAATATGTTAAGCCAATTGTTAAATACAATATCGGACTGAATTCCAAACTCAACACACAGTTACTACCTTTGAGAACTTTGGCGAAAATAATTATAAAATACCCTTAATTGCTTAACCCGGGAATCCAATCCGAGACGTTTTGTCCCTATGGCCTTGTTATTTTCTAGTACACATCTGATTTATCAACTTATGGCGCACCACCATAAACTTTTCACAGTAGACCTTCTTGACCTTCTTGACCTCTTCTCCTTTTCTTCTCAGACAAAGGAGAATGCAAATGGGACCGCCTGACTCATAGGTACCCTGACCTGTTCCACGATGGCGATAATGGTGACACTGCCTGCTTGTCCTATTACTATTGGCAAAAGGACATAGATATCATCGCGGAGACTGGATTAGATTTTTACAGGTAGAATCCTACTAACATCTTATACTATTATATAAAGCGGAAGAGTTTGTTTTTTTGTTTGTTTGTTTGAACGCGCTAATCTCCGTAACTACAAGTCTGATTTGAATAATTCTTTTTGTGTTGGATAGTGCATTTATCGAGGATGCCTATAGGCTATGAAACATCACGTTACGACCAATAGGAGCTAAGTAGAGCGTGTGAAACCGCGAGGAAGTAGCTAGTTATACTATAAATCTAAAACTTTGTATGTTTGTTTGTAACTCCTTCGCGTGAAAACTGTTAAAGGTATCGGAAAATGACAATGCCAAATCCTGACCCAGTCATAATATCATTTACAAAAAAAGTAAATTGATGAAAATAATTTAGACGAATAAGGAACCTTTTCACAATAAATATTTTTATTTTTAAACTTGCGGTTTGCAATCTAATAAAAAAAGAAGTTCAATCTCGGAAATACTTTTTTGCAATGCGTCTTCCATATTGTCCACTGACTATTATTTGCGTTACATCATACGCATCGCTTGTACGAAATTATGAAAATAAAAAGGGAAATTTAGAAAAAATATTATTATGTCTTTATCCCGTGGGACTTTTAGGATAAAATGTATCCTATGACACTCCCGTAATCAAGACAAATCTAACGATACCTCATACATCAAAATCCATCAAGCCGTTTAGGCTACAGGTGGTCACAAAGGAAAAGACATACATACATACTTACATACACTCGAAAAACATTACCCTCCTTCTTTGGCAGTCGGGTAAAAAGTAAGTAACTGTAAAAAAGATATCAGTAAACATAAAATATTATTTCAAAAGTATAATTATGTAATAACATTTATTTATTTATTAATGATTACAGATGAAATCACGAAAATATAAAAGAAACGATTACTATCATTAGTTATGATTTTTTTTGTGTAACGAAACGTTTTAAAGCGCTTGTCAGTTGTCAGCTGTCAGTGTCAATATTATCTTTCATTCGCTCTCTGCGTTTCCGTTGTTTTCGCGATAGTTATCATTATTGTTTTGGGTTTTAAACAAAAACCGCAAGTTTTACAGGTTTCAGGACAAATGTCTAAGTATCGGTAATTAATACACTACACGATGCTGAATACTGCATACTTGTACATGACTTCTAATATAGTGGGTCAAAGATGTACTGAGCACCTGGCATTGTCATTTGGATCAAGAGCAGGGATGTTAGGGAGCTCCGTAACCGTAAATGAAACTATCGGATATCCGATATAAAAAATATCCGAAACCGAAATCGAATCCGAAATAAAAGTTTCGTATAATATCGGATAGGGGCGTGACATATAAATTAAACCATTTCTATATATTAAGTGTGGGAGAGCCATGCTTCGGCACGAATGGGCCGGCTCGACCGGAGTGATACCACGGCCGAGCAGAAAACGGTCGTGAAGTAACGCTTGCGTTGCGTTTCGTCGTGTGAGTGAGGTTACCGAAAGCCCAATTACCCTCCTTTTGCCCAATCTCCCCAATTCCTGAATCCCCAACGATCCCCAAACTCCTAATCCCCAAAAGGCCGGTAACGCACTTGTAACGCCTCTGGTGTTCCAGGTGTCCATGGGCGGCGCCAATTGCTTACCATCAGGTGATCCGTCTGCTCTTTTACTGACTTATTTCATAATCATAATTTTTTTTATGTAACTTTCCCAGGTTTTCCATATCCTGGCCTCGTATCTTGCCGACGGGTCTTGCGACTAAAATCAGCGAGGATGGTGTCAACTACTACAACAACCTGATCGATGGTCTCCTGGCGAAAGGGATAGAACCTATCATTACTTTATACCATTGGGAAATGCCACAAATGTTCGAAGACCTAGGTACGATTTCAACTGATTCGCCAATAAACAATAATATAGTTAGTCTTTGACCGTTCAAGGCTGTAAGTATGGACTAGGGACAAAGATGAAGATAGCGAATCTTATACTTTATTATATAAAGCGGAAGAGTTTGTTTTTTTTGTTTGTTTGTTTGTTTGTTTGTTTAAACGCGCTAATCTCCGTAACTACGAGTCTGATTTGAATAATTCTTTTTGTGTTGGATAGCGCATTTACCAAGGATGGCTATAAGCTATAAAACATCACGTTACGACCAATAGAAGCTGAGCAGAGTGTGTGAAACCGCGCGGAAGTAGCTACTAGCTAGTAATAAACAATATTGAGAAAGGAAATATTTTCATTCATATTTTTAACTTTATTACAAAAGTTTATAGTTGGAAATCTATCAAAGAAGTTCACGTGTTTCCTAATCTTACGAGTCGTACAAGTCGAAACAGCGACATTTGACAAAGGTTGGATAGCAGTTCTTGTTTGTACGTTCACATACACATGACACCCAGACCCGAAATAAGTCGCGGAGAAACTAACGGGTAACCGGGGCTCCGGCTCGACGTGCAGGAGAAGGAACGGGGTGGTTTTTAGTCAGTAAGAGTCTGACACTCCCTCCCGCCTCACAGAGGCGGGACAAGTCATCCGATGACTTTCCCCCCTTAAAAAAAAATAAACGACCCGAAATAACAATTTGTAGATTACACAAACTGTTGCTCCGTGCTAGAATGGAATCCACGACACATTTTGCGTGGCAGCCGGTTGCCCAGCTACCGCACTAACCGTGTTGTCATTAGTGTCTGATAAACCTGATCATATTAAACTGCGGTCTCCATGCCACCTGGAAATATTGTACACACCTTTATGTATGACTAACGTCGAAATACTCAAACGGTACTCAATTTTAAGTTACGCTTTAAATAGTTCTGTTAATAAAAATTCTTTGTAAAATGACAGAGATGGCACAATATCATAAATACAGCTTCAAAATGTCACCTTTCACGTAAGACACATCATCATCATCATCAACAGCCTATAAATGCCCACTGCTGAGCAAAGCCTCTTCTCACACGGAGAAGGTTTGAGCATTAATCACCACGCTTGCTCAATGCGGGTTGGCAATTACAAACTTATAATTAGAAATTATAAGCCCAGGTTTCCTCACGATGTTTTCCTTCACCGTTTGTCAGTGGTGTCTAAATAATCTTAGAAAGTACATATAACTCGGAAAAAGTCACATTGGTACTTGCCGTTGGTAGGTTTCGAACCCGCACCCTCATGCATGAGAAGCGCGTCTTAAACCTCCGGGCCACCACGACCTTACACGACGTAAGACACACATGCTGTTAATGATTACATGACTTCTAAAATAACAGGAGGATGGGCCAACCCAAGAATCTCGGACTGGTTTGCTGATTACGCGAGGGTAGTCTTCCGTCTCTTCGGAGACCGTGTCAAGACCTGGCTGACCATCAATGAACCTGTCATGGAATGCGACTGGTTCTACGGCCAGGGAATCCTGCAACCACAAATAGATTACTTCGTGGGACCCTACCTTTGTAACAAGAACATCTTGCTGGCCCACGCGAAGGCTTACAGGGTCTATGATCAGGAGTTCCGTGCATTGTACGGTAATGTTGGTAAGTAGATCATTCTATTTTGTGAACTAGTCGAAAGAATATGCAATATATTTATATGTCGCAGAATCAACAAAGATGCACAGCTATCGAGTGTCATTATTTTAGAACAACGCCATCTGTTATCATTTGTCGGAAACGTCAAGCAGTGTACTTGGGTGATGGTCGGTACGGGGCGTGGCATGTTGGCATTTGAAAGGCGTCACTTTTTGAGTTGGACACGAGGGTGAGCGGTTGTTCTGCCAGCCCGTACCGAACTTACCGCGTTTACGAAGAATCCGTTTTCCGAAGTACCCCCAATGGGTGCATTTTCTCCGACATATATATATATATATATATATAGAAAGAAAGAAAAACCATTTATTACACCACGACACAACAAGAATGTAAGTACACGCAAACAGTTCCTGGTGCAATGCAGCGCAAAAGGCTGGAACTCGGGAATATCAAATGAATGCAATAGGGAAGTTCTCGTTAATGCCAATTTTAATAATAAAGACTAATTCAAAATCATTTAGGTATTTCTAATAGACCAGAAAGGCACTTTTGACTTTTTTCGTCAACAAAAAATTAAAACTGAAGCTATTTGCTCATTCCCAATTACCCTCCTCCCTAATCCCCGTCTCCAGAATCCCCGAATCCTCCACAATCCTCGAATTCCCAATTCCCAAAAGGCCGGTACTATACATATACTGTATCTCTTAATTCGGTAGATCGAAGTAAACTCTATCGCGGTCTATGTTTGTGAGAATAATCTCGACTTAAAGTTAAACTACAGAATCTTATATAGAAGACGCCTATCTTATTATCCAGTAATGAGGTGTCGCGGGCCGTTGTTCAGACAATAGCAATCTATGGTGAGTTTTTCTAAAGAAAATCTGACCTGACTGCCTTGTTGTCCGAGTGGTCGCAAGTGTCGCCAGGAAAGGGGTCTCCGGTTCGATTCCTACGTCGTGCAAAGTATTACTGGGTTTAAAATTCTCAGTAGCACTGAGTCTGGAATTGTGTTTTCTGAGTCTGGAACCGTTATCGTTCAAAAGTGCCTTTCTAGTCTAATTTGAAATAAACGATTTTGGCTTTGACTTTGTGCCCGGTATATGGCAATAGACTCACCCCCTATTACATGGCTCATAACATATATTATAGTGAAAAGTGGGTGTTACATTGTACAATGGTAAAAAGTACCTTCCGTAATGTGCCTACCCCTTCGGGGATAAAAGGATATTATAATAATATTATGTTATTTTGTTTTTCTAAAGCAAAATTATTTCGACCGATTATCATATGGTTCAGTAGGAATAAGTGAAGTCACCTATTAATGTATTTTTTTTTCAGGAAAACTGTCAATTGCAAATCATTTGCTGTGGGTGATGCCTTTGACTGAAGATCTTGAAGACTTAGCTGAAATAGCACGAGAGTACTTTGTAAGTATCATTACGCCACACCTCTGTAATCTCCGAAGGAGTTGGCAGAGATGTACATTTGCAATGTACTTAATATTTACTGTCTATGTAATAGGTGTGACATGGTCTATCATAATATGGTCTGTTCGTCTTCTTCCTCATTTGTAGCTAAAGAAAATTTTACAGAAACCCATTAGGTATTTAGGTATAGTCTAATAATCAGTCCAAAGAAACCTATGTGGTCAAGTATATAATAATTCATTTAAAAAAACGGGGTGACGATTTTTTAGGGTACTCGATACCCTAGCAATTTCGCCTGTGCATTTACAAACATACAAATTCACATACATGTGATATCCAGACCCGGAACAATAATTTTTGGATGACACAAGGAATAGGGTAGTTTCCAGGGTAATAAAATTAAAAATCTAATTAGTCCGTCAGTTAGATAATGAAAAAGTATTAGACACGTATTTTTTTATTTTCTCGTACAAAGTTACAATACTTAAATAATATGGATTTAAGTTTAGGAGTGGGAGGTCGTTACCGGTGTGACGTGTCACGGAGAACCTAACGGGTAACCGGGGCTCCGACTCGACGTGCAGGAGAAGGAACGGGGTGGTTTTTAGTCAGTAAGAGTCTGACACTCCCTCCCGCCTCACCCAGGCGGGAGCAGTCATTCGATGATTTTCCCCCCTTAAAAAAAAACCGGTGTGACGTCACACGATATTTCAAATCAATATATCGTCGAAAGCATTTAATTTTATAAGAAAAGAAAAAATATGTGTTTAAAGTTTTTAATTAGTCCACCAGACGGACATAAAAATTAAATTTAGGAAACTACCCTATTGCTCCGTGCGGGAATCGAACCCGCTACACGTTGCTCGGCAGCCGGTTGCCCAACCACCGCACCAACTTGTCAAGAATAATCATTACAACTTTATGTTTTCTTCAGACCGGTCGCTACACTCATGCCATATTCTCCAAAGAGGGAGGATGGCCCAAAGTGATCGAGGAACAGGTCGCGAAGGTCAGCAAGGAACAAGGGTTCAATGAATCCCGGCTACCAGCTTTTACTGAAGATGAAGTCAACTTAATCAGAGGTAATTTAGTATTTCTAAGTATTCCTATGGCTATTCCTAAGTTTTGTGAATGCCTTCTAGTAAAATTCTGTAAATATCATTTAGATCCCGGTGCTATAAGATCTCTTACAACAAAAAAAATCATTGTCAAGTAAACTATGTTTTCCAAGAGTGAAATAAACATAACATCACGCCGTTTAACATTACGGCCCTTAATGGCCACAATGTAACAGCCACTTTTCACTATTTATGTTATGAGTCCCATGTAATAGTGGATGAGTCTATTGTCATATACCCGGCACAATTCTAGACTTCGTGTAACTACTGAGAATTATTAAAAAACTAATAATGCTTTGTCCTACCCGCGAATCCAACCCGAGATCCCTTGTCCGTCAGTCGCACTTGCGACCACTCGGCCAACGAGGCAGTTTTCCAAGAGTCAAAACATTTTTCAATGTAGTTTATATTATATCAATGTAAACAAAAACACGATAAAATCCATCCTCTTCATAATACAGTGAAACCTGGTTAAGTGAGACATCAAGGGACCTGCAATATCGTTTCACTTATAGAGGTATTCCACTTACCCAGTGTCTCAGATACACAGGTATAAATAAATATTTGTCTCATTTACAGAGGGTTCCATTAATTGAGGTGGACTTGGAATTACGTGCGGAATTTGTGGGTAGAATAAGAATGACTAAACAAACAATGTTATCTCAGTTACAGAGTTTTATGCATATAAAATTTACTCGCTGTCTCGGTTATAGAGGTAACTATGATGATAAATCGAAAGAAAAATTCCCAGATATAGAGGTTTACCTCGTCCCACTAAAAGAGGTAATTCAGTGCCAAAGTGTTGGGACCTCAGCATGAGTTCCAGTTATGGAGGTTTCTCACTTATCCAGGTCCCACTTAACCAAGTTTCACTGTATATGTAGATAGAAAATTAACTGAAAATATTTAAAAGAAAAACAAAAACAACTATTTACATAAAAAAAATATATTTTATTATTAATTTAGTAATAGTTAGTTTTAATTTTATTTAAGTTTTTATTTGAATATTTTTATAGATTATTTAGTAAAGATTTCAGACTGATATGGTTTCAGTCTAACAGCAGAAAAACTATCCTAAATAATTGTTATGTACAAAATACTTTACAGGGTCCTACGATTTCTTCGGCATGAACCACTATACTTCAAAACTGGTGCGGTACACAAAACCGGGGGAGAAAACCACCTCAGCGCTTTTCACATCTATTTACGAGTTCAATGCTACACTCGTCACTGACCCGACTTGGAAGCATGGGCAGACCGATTACATGGTGGTGAGCAGGCCTTCTTAATTTATCACTTTTTCTATACTTAATATTGTAAATCTGAGTTTGTTTTTTTCTTTGTTTGTTCAAACGCGCTAATCTCCGAAACTACTGATTCGAATTGAATAATTATTTTTGTGTTGGACTATCCATTTATCGAGCAAGGCTATAAAACTGATAATTTTATGGCAAAGGAAAAATTTGGAAGTTAACGTAGATATCACAAATTAGATGATTATCTTCATAATATATACAGCTTGTGAAAGTTCATTTCTGGACCACGGTTGTCCTCTACATGAGCGGAGGAGATCGCAGCTTAAAATGTTTAATTTAGTCAGGAAATCCTATTGTCCGTCTCTGTCAAATGTTTGAATGCACTTTTAGCGCCGTGGCTGGGCGACCAGCTGCCGCGCAAGTGTCGATTTTTCGATTCCCGCACAGAATAATTATTTGTGTGAAATCAATAATATTCTGTAAGCCGTGGAAAACTCAGAGGCTAATATATAAACATACGTCTACCCTATCATCTTCTATAATCTAGCTTGCAACATGTCGCGGGTTAGACTCCCGCACGGAACAACTCTTTGTGTGATCCACAGATTATATTGTTCCGGGTCTGTGTGTGATATGTATGTGAACTTGTATGTTTGTAAACGCACCCACGGTACAGGAGAAAATCCTAATGTGGGGCAAAGTTTTTCAAAAAAATAATTTTCTTTTAGAAACTGCTGTCAAGATGCATATTTTTTTTCTTTAATTGATATTTTGAAATATATTCGTTCTTTCCAGACGTATCCTCAAGGTATAAGAGCCCAAATGGAATGGGTAAGGAAGCAGTACGGAGACATTGAGATCCTAATCACAGAGAATGGGTACGCCACGGGAGAAGCCATCATAGATGATGACGAAAGGATAGATTATGTCAAATCATACTTGAATGAGGTATTTCAGTTTTTAATGGTTTTATTTGTCGCTAGAGGATTGGCTGGTTCAACAGATTTCATTAAATTGAGCCTTAGTTGAACTTAAAAATTAATTATTTCATTCCCTGTTACGTAAGTAGGACTGCTATAGATAGTTGAATAATCATAATTGTGAATATCAACCAAGAAATATCAGGTTTCATTCTCGGGTCAGACATAGTTTTATTGCCGTTTCTTTGGTTTTTATAAAATCACTAGACACAGTGCAGGAGTAGGAACGGGGTGGTTTTTAGTCAGTAAGAGTCTGACACTCCCTCCCGCCTCACCTAGGCGGGAGAACTCATTCGATGATTTTTCCCCTCAAAAAAGGCTCACAACTATAATTTATATTCTGTTCTCTTTGCATTCTTCTCTATATGACCATTTTTTCCAGGTCCTTTTGGCTATTCAAGAAGGTATCAAAGTGATTGGATACTCCTACTGGTCTCTGATGGATAACTTCGAGTGGGGCAGTGGATTTTCGTAAGTATTATTTGTTTCTTCCTAAGTATAGTGGCGTAATGTTATTATAATAACTATCGTGAGACAATATACTAAATTAACTAAAATCGCGGGTTACTCACGTGAATGTACTGAGAAAAGCTCTACTAGTTTCGAACCACAGAGGGGTTCTTCCTCATGAGCAGCGTGCGCGGTCGCGGCGATGTCAAAAATAGGCTGCGCAACAAATATTAAATACGTATTTTTTATTTTCTTACACAGTATTTAATTTTGTAAAAAAATAATCTAACAGACGGACATTAAACAAAATTTAGGATACTATCCTATTGTACTAGATGATCGTAACTGATTATTATTATTATTTTATTTATTTACAGTTCAAAGTTCGGTATTTATCAAGTGGACTTCGAGGACCCCGAGCGCACGCGCACTGCGCGTAAATCTGCGCGCTATATCGCGGACATCATCAAAAATAGAGTCCTGTAACATTGTTTTAGTGATTTATTAAATAAAACTGTAGGATTACTAAACATATTATGTGTTTTATTGTTAATGGGTGATCCTTAAAATGAAACCGCTTTTCAAAGAAATATCCATCATCACCACCAGCCTGTTTTATGGAATACTAGCTTCTGCAGCAGCTTTGCCTGCGTTTCCGTGGAATAAAAAGTGGCCTATGTGTTACTCCTAATCATAATCTACCTATGTTCCAAATTCAATCCCGGTCTCTTCAACCGTTTTAATGTTTCAGAGTAACAAACATTCACACAAACTCACATATTTTCACATTTATAGAGGTAATATCGGTTCAAGCTAATTTCAACCATCGGCCCTATAGTTACAGCGTAAAGTCCCTGCGTAAAATTTCAGTCAATCATACCAAGTTTCATCGTAATCCGACCGGTAGTTTTTATGTAATGCGTGAACATACATACAGACAGACAGACAGACAAAAATAATTGTGGTAATCACATTTTTGGTGTCTATATCTATCTAGGAACACCCCCTACTATTTTTTGTACTTGTACAGTTATATTATAAAAAAATAATGTTAAGCAAATGTAATTTATAATAAGCTAAAATTTGCAATTTGAAAAAAGCCGTTAAGCTGTGCCTGTTACTTCATAAGACCTGTAGTATGTATTACCTTAACATGGTAATAAAGACTTTGAGTTTGAGTTTGAGTTATACATATGTATAGACTAGCTTTTACCCGCGGCTTCGCTCGCGCCACAAAAGGATAAAAAGTAGCCTATGTGACATACACCAATACACACAGTACCATCTATACCAATACTTTTGTTTTTCCTGAGGAATATCAATTTTTGCCGGGATAAAAAGTACTATTATTTAATCCGTACTTCTAACTTTGCGTCTGCAAAAATTCAAAGCAATCGGTTTAGTAGTTACGGCGTGAAAGCGGAACAAACAAATAAACTCACTTTCCGATTTATAATATTAGTAAGGATATAGAAGATGAGGCAAATAAGCAGACAAGTCGCCTGATGGTAAGCAATCAACGCTGCTCATGGACACCTGAAACACCAGAGGAGTCAGGTACAAGTGGGTTGTGGACCATTAAAAAGATTGATTGTCCAATTTCTTTGGTAATCCATTCTCCCTAAAAACGGCAAGTTGGAAATTCAGAACTCTGACTAACACAATGAATGAGCGAACAGTGACAAGCAAGAGCAGAAAAAAATCACAATATAAAACACTCACGTTCATTTTGTTAAATCTGTGCATTGATTTATTTTATTCATTTATTTAATGATTTATGTAATCACAAACAACAAGGATAAAATAAGAGTACAAAGGTGCTACTTATTCCTGTTGGAATTTCTTCCAGTAGACCTGAGTTAGGAAATGTAATAAAAACATGAGACACATATAAAAAACGTATCTGTACTCACGAAGAAAGGTAATGGTCTTTAATTAGCTTTTTAAAGACAGTGATAGATTTAGCGTCACCAATGTTAGGCGGCAGAGAATTCCACAGTCTCACAGCATAAACGGTGAAGGAATAGGAGAAGTCGGTATAATGAGGCATAATTTTAAGATTAGACTTAAGATGAGAATGGGTAAGGACTTCAGGAGGACCAAGGAAAAACGGTCACGGAGGTAAGCAGGATAAGTTGGATTGTAGAAGGTATTATAGAGGAGACATAAAATGCGTGTGTTCCAGCGAAGACGGATAGGGAGCCACTTGAGCCTATTGCGAAATTCGGAGACATGATCATATTTCTTAAGACCAAATACAACGCTATCCGCGTTGATTTTGCAATCGCTCAAGTTTATTTAATAGCTCCTCAGTGGCATCCAAATAGCAAACATCTGCATAGTCCAACAGAGGCATGGTCAACGCTTGGAGGTAAATCTTTGTCTTCACAGGCAGCAGGGTCTGGAGGCACCTCAGGGAATGGATAGAGTAATGAACCTTCCGACTGATTTCATTCACCTGTGCATTCCATTATAAGTTCGAGTCAATGAATACACCTAAGTACTATCGCATGAGGGTGCGGGTTCGAAACCTACCAACGGCAAGTACCTACCAATGGGACTTTTTCCGAGTTATATGTACTTTCTAAGATTATTTAGACACCACTGACAAACGGTGAAGGAAAAACATCGTGAGGAAACCTGAACTTATAATTTCTAATTATAAGTTTGAAATCGCCAACCCGCATTGAGCAAGCGTGGTGATTAATGCTCAAACCTTCTCCGTGTGAAAAGAGGCTTTGCTCAGCAGTGGGCATTTATAGGCTGTTGATGATGATGATGATGACTATCTTAGTTGTTATTATCTAAGTTTAGCACTATCGGTAAATGGAATCGCTGTAGCATTTAAACGCAATGGACCGAGGCCAGAAACGTCGAAAGTGTCACGATAATATCTGCTACCGATGATCATGGCCTGAGACTTGAGAGGATTGATTTGCAAGCCAAAATATCTGACCCACACAGCAACACCATCCAAGGCACAAATCATGGCATGATCATTATTTTTAATTTTATTAATTTATTGTTATATTTTTATTTAGACTCCTAGCAAAAGATACACTTACATGCTAAAAAATAATCCATCTGACGTTACAATAACCTCCTAATCCTTTAATTAAAGGGAATCACATCATGCGCATACAGCAATTGAATAAAATTAATTCAAATTAAATTAAATTACAGAAATGCCAAGAAAACATAAAAGAAATACAGTATCAAAAATCCAAATCAAGACATAGAAAGAAAGACATAGAAACAAAGACTGCACGTCGAGCCGGAGCCCCGGTAACCTGTTAGGTTCTCCGCGACTCCGAGGATATAGGTGCTTACGTCATTATTATACGACCAGAGTCAGTTCTGCGTGGGTTTATTATCTACTTATTCTCCGACTTTCCTGAAACTTGTCAAATATTTTTTCCTTAAAAACTTATTTAAGTTTAAACCTTGTTCTACATATCAATAAGATGTACAAAAGTATTGATATCGATGCAGTCATTCGTGAGTCATGCGCGTGATTGGTTTTATTTGATTACAAAACGGCCACAATAAATTTTGGTAAAGTTTTCCTGGTATGAAATATAATATAGGTAATTTTTTTTATATGGGATAAGGCGTTATACGAGCATACGGATCACCTGATGGTAAGCAATCGGCGTCGCTCATGGACACCCAGGATACTAGGTGCGTTAGGTACCGCCTTTTAAAGATAAGGAATTTGAGGATTTTTGCGGAATCCAGGGATTGGGAAGGGGAGGCCTCCGGTAACCTCATTCACACGACAAAACACAACGTAAATGTTGTTTCACGTCGGTTTTCTGTGAGGCCGTGGTGTCACACCACACCAGCAGCAGCTGTAGCCAAATGCCATTTAGCGCTGGTCTACTTGTAGAGTAGAAAACCAAATTATATGGAATTGACGTAAATTTTGACACTTATCAGTGTCATCCCCGTACATTTTGATTTCTACTCTCTCTGTAGACAAGCGCTAAAGTGGCGTTTGGCTAGGCACAGGGATACAGCCACATACAGGAATAACGTATGTAATAAATAACATAATGGTTGATTTCTCTAGCAAATGTTCCTTCGTATCAAAAATGAATGCTATAAGAAACGTGGTTACTTTTGACATTTAAAAAAACATGAAAAATGTGTCTAAGCTTTGTCTCTTGCAACGCAAAGATTAGTTAATAAGACTGGCTAATAGACTTTGAATAAGAAAAAAGTATAGGGGCAACACAACTAGTCAAAATGAAATCTTTTTTCGAAATTTTAAAACGATAAATTACTATTAATTTTGCATAAACTTGCATTGTTGCATAACATCATAACATAATGCCTTTTATCCCTGAAGGGGTAGACAGAGGTGCACATTATGCCACTATACAATGTAACACCCACTTTTTACTATTTATATTACGAGCCCCATGTAATAGGGGGTGAGCCTATTGCCATATACCGGGCATATGATAGGTAGATCTTACTACTTCGGGATAAAAAGGCGTGATGTTATGTGAAAAATTGGCACTAAGTGAATTTTCTTTTTCGTTAAAAGAAAATTGTATGTGTATGTGATATAGTACCTACATATGAACCTATATAGCATTATCATATATTTTATTATGTTGTAATAGACGCTACATATATAGATTGTAGCTTGGCGTCCTTTAATCAGTCCCATCATGATTTGGACAGTGATAGTCGTGTTCAGGTGAGGGAACAATATAATAATTAAATAAATAATAGATTATAAGTTCTGTGGGTCAAGTGGACACGCCTCGTCAAGAGGAATGTAGTGAGTGTTTTAAAAGTCAGTGATTTTCAAAGATGATCAAAATTTTGTTATTTTTTAAACATAGGTACGTCTTCAGATTGCTTCTTTGGCCGAGTGGTCGCAAGTGTGACTGCCGGGTAAGGGTGTTGAGTTCGATTCCCGGGTCGGGAAAAGATTAAAAAAAAAACGTTGCCCAACACTAGGATTTTCTCCTGTGTCGTGGGTGCGTTTACAAACATACAAATTCACATACACAATTACACCCAGACCCGAAACAACAATTTGTGGATCACACAAAGTGTTGTTCCGTGCGGGAATCGAACCCGCGACACGTTGCACGGCAGCCGGTTGCCCAGCCACCGCACCAACCGTGCAGTCTTTTTATTACTAGGTTTTTTAAAACAATCTCAGTAGTAGCACAAAATCTGGTTGTGCCCGGTATGGCAATATATTACATGGGACTCATAACATAAATAGTGAAAAGTGGGTGTTACATTGTACAGTGGCATTAAGTGCTATAATGTGCACCTCTGCTTACCTATTCGGGGATAAAAGGTGTTATGTTATGTTTCTACAGCTTGATAAAAAAGAGTTTGTAATAATTGAGGTCGCTAGTATCGTTCCTGTGGCGATGTTGATGTTTATTATTTTTTATAGAGTTTTAAGAGAGCTTGTAGGTACTATGTTCAGATGATTATTCATTCATGGAATCTGGTCCGAAGTCGGTGATTCAGTGTAAGTCAATATCACACGGTCACCGCGTCAAACTCTTTTATGTGCATTCTTATTTCTCTTCGTGCTTTGTTATAAAGTTTTGTCTAAAATAGAACATTTATTTAATTTTAGAATGCTTAGTTCTTACTGGTCTTCCTATAGGATTGCTGTTGAACAAGACAATTTATTGATAAGTACCTCGCCTGAAATATCATGTGCGTCCGTCAATCCGTGAATTTTAGTCTCCATAGGTACCTAAGTTTAACTAAGTTGTTTTTCGCCCCGCAGTTACGCACGTGTATCTATAAACTATCCTCGTAAAGCAGTCTATGTATTTAAAGAACTGCATCAAAATTCGTTGCGTAGTTTTTAAGATCGAACTAAGTACCTATGTACATATAGACAGACAATGAGAAACTACTTTGTTTTGTGTTTAGAGAAGGTGATAGGTAGATCATAACATAACATAACATCACGCCTTTTATCCCCGAAGGGGTAGGCAGAGGTGCACATTATGCCACTGTACAATGTAACACCCACTTTTCACTATTTATGTTAAGAGGCCCATGTAATAGGGGCTGAGCCTATTGCCATATACCGGGCATATGATAGGTAGATCTTACTACTTATATTTTGTAAATAACGTGACCCTACACTAGGATTTTTCCTGAGTCGTGGGCGCGTTTACAGACATACAAGTTCACATACACATGACACCCAGATCCGGAACAGTAATCTGTGAATCACACAAAGAGTTGCTGCGTGTGGGAATCGAACCTTACACGTTACGCGGCAGCCGGCTGCCCGGCCACAGCGCCAACCGAACAGTTGAATAGGGATGATGAAAATTAAAAATATAATCAGTCCGTCAGTTAAGTAATGAAAAAATATTAGACACGTATTTTTTTATTTTGATGTACCTATAATAAAATGATACTTAGATATATCGAATCAAAGTTTAGGAGTGGGGCCTAAAACGTCATTTCTACGTATAAAAATGTACTGAGAAGTGACGTCACGCTACATTTCAAATCAATATACCGTCGAAAGTATTCGTGCCTGTAAATAAATAAAAAATACATGTCTAATGATTTAAAATAATCTACCAGACGGACATTAAAATAAAAATTAGTCATCTACCCTATTGTCATAGAGATGACTACGTATTATCTGGAAGAACCTATCATATAGACTACTTTTCCTTGTGTACCGCGGGCAAAACCGTTAGCAGAAGATAATGAAATAATAAAATATCTTTATCCTTATCATAATATTTACGTAGGGGGTCTTATTTCGAGTGGACCTGTCAATAAATAAACAATTTTTATCAAATAGGACGCGGAATAAAACGTGACATACTAACACGTGTAGCAACGACACAAGTATCAAATTATCATAGGACAAGTTCGCCTTTTCGCGTCCACCCACCAGGTCACGCCCATGTTACGGAACGCTCTTTAAAAGTTTCCTAAAATGAATAAATAAAACATACAGCCGAACTGAAAAAAAAGAATAAGCCTTTTTGGAATTCGGTTTAAAGCTACCACCATATTAGTAGTAGTGTAGTAGATATCTGTTTGATCATTCACATTTTCAATATCTTCCATCCGTGGCTATACGTAAAATAAACGCAGACTGGTGGGTGGACGCGGACAGGCGAACTTTTTTGACTGGACGCGAATAGGTGAATTTACCTTATACTGGTAAAAAAAATATTTTATTTGTACTAATGTCATGATGGCCTGGCCCGAAATTCTTTATGACACGTCTTCGGTCACTTCTCATGCAAGGAACCTGGATTTATAATTTGTTATTATAAGTTTGTAATCGCCAATCCGCTTAAGCCAGCGTGGTGACTAATGCTCATTTCTTCTGTGCGAGACCTTTGCCCAGCAGTAGGCACTAAGGCCCTGGCCTAAACTCCAACCCAACTGTTGACTGCACGGTTGGTGCGGTGGCTGGGCAACTGGCTGCCGTGCAACGTGTCGCGGGTTCTATTCCCGCACGAGACAACACTTTGTGTGATCCACAAATTGTTGTTTCGGGTCTGGGTGTCATGTGTATGTGAACTTGTATGTTTGTAAACGCACCCACGACATAGGAGAAAATCCTATTGTGGGGCAACGTTTAAAAAAAAAACTGTGAAGGCCTGAAATTATGGCAAACTCTCAAGATTCAGTAGTGACTTGCGACTTGGTGGAGATGGTGACAAAAATATCATGACTTCTAAAAAGTGAATATATATGTCTACCTTTCAGGCAACAACAAGCGTGATGATATGATACATAACCTGCTTTCTACCTAAGTGTTTACAGGTTATTTGGTACATGTCGCTATCGTCAGTAAACTCTTGAACTTTATCACTGGTATTCACTTGTTTATTTAATATATCTCTTTATTTTGACAGTTCAAGATAATATCAGTAGATTTATGTACAGCTACATATTTTCGATTGAAGATTATAAGACTTGATATCGACGACTTAATATTAACCAGTAAATATAAACAAGGAAAATAGAGGGCTTAGTACCAGATTGTTTTACGTTTATAATAAAGTAAATGAGACCGTGTTCGGCTCTCTGATTGGCCGGCTCCAATAAACCAATCAATTAGAACGCTGAAGGCGGTCTCGTTTACATTATTTTAAATGTAAAACCAACTACTACGTACAGCGCCCTCAGCAATCATTGATTGGCTACCGAGATAAAAAAAAATAAAGATGCTCGAAGTGCAAGAGTATTTTTAGTGGTTTTTAGTCAGTAAATATCTGACGCTCCCTCACGCCTCACCCAAAGTCAAAGACAAAGTCAAAGCATTTATTTCAATTAAACCATAATTTAGTAATTTTGAAACGTCAACAAATACAAAATAAATAATGGTCTGTCAGTCAATCCGTCAGTGAAACTAGGTGAAGCTAGGTGTTCATTCCAAAATGTAGATTCGAATCGAAGAACGAACAAAAAAACCCCATTCGTTACTCTTTTTAATAAAGTATGTTCTACAATGTCTCTGATACATATCTCAATACTGTACGTAAGAACAATGCAAAGACACGCTTTCACGCCCAGGCGGGAAAAGTCATTCGATGATTTTAATCCTCAAAAAAAAAAACTTTCTCTAAAAAGTATACGATGTACTAGAGAATGTGTGCATTTTTGAGAATTTGGCATACCTAAAAAATTGGTAATGGAATACCTAAAATAGAATTCAGAGGTTTATAACTTGGTACCTGCTATAACTAGTAGGTAGCAGTTTATAATACAACAGTTGTAGTTATTTTATAATACCTACAATTTATTCGTTATTCATAATTGTTAGTCAAATTAAATCTTCCGTTGAGGAGTTACCCACATTGTTACAATAAAGTTATCTCTAAGTAAATACTGTGATAATGAGAACTGCGTGTTAGAATGCATAATATTATAAATGTATGATTATATTAATGCTAATCTATTTCCTTATTTCTATTGTAACATAATTATGTAACTGGGGTCTCGTCTGTTACTTTTTGCTAGTTATAACTACTGGATTTTTGCCGTACGGTGACAGCAAAGCAGCAGAAGTAGAAGGAGAAGAGAATATATTTGTTACAACTCCTACTCTTTTCGACGTCCGCGTCGTTTTAAAAACTGTTTAAGAGACTACAGATGAGACCGGGCAGCAGCGTTCTCTGATTTTTTTATGCCATAAGCCGGTAAACGAGCAGACGGATCACCTGAAGGTAAGCAATCGGCGTCGCCCATGGACAACTGGAACACCACAGGCGTTACAAGTGCGGTACCGGCCTTTTGGGGATTAGGAGTTTGAGGGTCGTTGGGGATTCAAGAATTGGGGAGATTGGGGAAGGGGAGGGTAATTGGGCCTCCGGTAACTCACTCACACCACGAAACACATCGCAATGTTGCTTCACGTCGGTTTTCTGTAAGGCCGTGGTATCACTCCGGTCTAGCCGGCCCATTCGTGCCGAAGCATGGCTCTCCCACATTTAAAACTCTGGTTAACCTGATTCGTTAAAACTGTAATTTCTAAGCCGGCCAAGAGGGATGATTTGAAAATTATGCAGTTTAATAATAAGTTAGGTTTTTGATGGCATATTATATTTTACAGCGCCGCCCTATCCGCGGTGTGGTCTATTGACCTGACGTTTCCACCTGGATTCAAGTTCGGAGCAGCCACTGCTTCCTATCAGGTCGAAGGAGCGTGGAATGAAGATGGTAAGGCATCAGAAGGTGTTCCTTATGGACAGTTTGTTTTACTGTCACTGAGTTTTGTATAGATTAGTATTTTTTTTAACTATTTAAGAAAATCTATGCAGGAAGAATTGGGATTATAAATTAGTATTTTTTTTTTGTTTTTATAAAAACGTTGCCCCACTGTTATTATTAACCTGTATAGAGAGGTCGTAATAGATCTACGACGAATTTTAATCGGTGTCAAAGAACCGGCGCCATTATAGCTTTGTGATTCTTCACCGCTAATATCAATAAACTAATCGCCACAAATAACCGCTTAGCCAACCATCCCTAGAAGCAACGAATCCGTTATTCGCATCAACTGTATCAGAACAACTAAACAAACAAGAAAAAATACTATAAAATTATTTTCATTTTGACTGATTTTATACTGACTTTGACAATTGTAAATGGTTTTAAGGTAAAAGCGAAAGTGTTTGGGATCGCTTCGTGCATGACGATCCGTCCAGGATCGAAGACCTGACCAATGGAGATGTAGCTTGCGACTCCTACCACTATTGGAGAAGAGACATTGAGATGGCTGAGGAACTTGGATTGCACTTTTATAGGTGAGGATAATCATCATCAGACTGCAGGCGCGCCCCGTGAGCCAGAATTCAAGAGCCAGATTGTTAGATTAAGAGTTCGCAATGACTTCTGAACGACAGAGTTTAAAGAACTGAGGAATATGGCTAAATTTACTCTCCTATATTCAATGTGCATCTTTCATCTGATGATAGTGATGGTTTATTATAAATTACATTATAAGTTCTATAGAAAATAGCGCCTATCATCATCAGGTGTGGGACCAAACTCCATACTGAAAACTTTAAAGTATTTTGTAATTTTTAAAAGTACAAGCTCGCCACTACCTCCCAAAACCGCTGCAACTCCTGTAAGCCAGGATCTACAGTAGATACAACCATGAAAATACCGGAACACTGAAGTCTGGCGCGTCCCAGGGACATGAATAACTGTCTTGGTTTCCGCAACGAAGTGAATCAGAAAATATTATAAGAGAAGAAAAAAAACGATAATTTCCACTTCCCTCGGCGAATTACTACTGCAATATTTCGTAATGCCAAGTTCAGTGTCTCAAAAACTATCTTCATCTTCCAGGATTTCCCTATCCTGGCCCCGCATCCTCCCGTCTGGTTTCCCCAACCATGTCAACGAAGCCGGCATAGCGTACTACAACAACCTGATCAATGGACTCCTGGATAAAGGGATAGAGCCGCTCGTCACCCTATATCACTGGGATCTGCCGCAGTCCCTTCAGGACCTTGGTAAGATAATATCCTTAAACATCTTCCTAGATAACCCAACTATTGGTTATCTTATGGCTTTTGGTTGGTAAGGCTAGCCTTGTCAGGGCCCCCAGCCGAAAGACCATCAGAGATTCTCACCCACAGTACCAGGTACCATGGATATAATTAATGTCTGTTTTTGTGTTCTTGCCTCAAATAATCTGTTTTAATAGGCAAAAGGGGCCCGTCAGATGAATTTGCCATGAGCCTCGAACGGTATAGTTACGCCACAGCTTGTGATAGTACAAATGCTTCTTTGTAGAGTACTGGGTTATTTTAGGGACCATTGTCTGACTGACTTCAAAGAGTCCCAATGATTAAACTGTTAAGCTTTGCAATTGTAAAATTATAATATGAATGGTATCTCCACTAATGCATTCATGCATACTAAGAGACTATTGTATCTAATACCTACTCCAGACTTTGTGCTTAGGGCATTCAGATAGTGAAAGAACCAATTAATATTGTTCTACTGTTCTACAGCAATGCTCAACAAAGCCATAAAACAAAACCGAAAACTGAAATTGCTAATTAAACTGCAGTCAAACTTGAATTACCTTTTATAGAAAGAGTTAATCTTCTTCCAGGTGGTTGGGCGAATCCCCTCATTGCCGACTGGTTTGAGGACTTCGCGAAGGTGGCATACAATCACTTCGGAGACCGTGTCAAGTTCTGGCTGACGATCAATGAACCGCTGATCGTGTGTGATGGTGTTTACAACGCTGATACTTTCGCTCCTGCTGTCAAAAGCCCTGAAGTTGGGGCTTATTTGTGCAATAAGTATGTAATGCTAGCCCATGCCAAGGCTTGGAGGTTGTATGATAAGGAGTTTAAACCTAAATATCATGGTAAGAAAGTTTTGTTTGGTTTAGCAATTCTCTTTTCTCACATCATTCTTCAATTATGAAATAATGATAAGAATAAAATGGGAACTTCATTTGACTGATTTGATCTTAAGAGATCAGCTGTTAGTTGATCATTTAACTTTTACGAAAAAAACATGAAGATGTATTGAAAATATTTTTGTTTCCAGGTAAAGTGTCAATAGCGAATCAAATTATCTGGTATGAACCTACATCTCCTGAGCACGAGGAACTTGCAGAACTAGCCAGACAGAATATCGTGAGTCATTAGTTTTAGGACTATTTTAATTTATTTTTTATGGCATAAGCTGGTAAACGAGCAGACGGATCACCTGATGGTAAGCAATCGGCGTCGCCCATGGACACCTGGAACACCAGAGGCGTTACAAGTGCGTCACCGGCTTTTTGGGGATTAGGAGTTTGAGGATCGTTGGGAATTCAGGGATTGGGGAGATTGGGGAAGGGGAAGGTAATTGGGCCTCCGGTAACATCACTCACACGACGAAACACAACGCAGGCATTGCTTCACGTCGGTTTTCTGTGAGGCCGTGGTATCACTCCGGTCGAGCCGGCCCATTCGTGCCGAAGCATGGCTCTCCCACACTTAAATTCTCATTACGACCATACAAAGCTTTCGAGGCGTCTGATGGTAAGCAAAGTCTGGTAGTTTAGGCAAACCTGCCGTCTATGCACTAAGTAGGTACCTATTAGGTATGGTCTTTTTCGAAGATGCGGAAAGTTCATTACAACAGGAATGACAGAATTTATGTTATGTATTTTTGATTGGGTAGGCCGATAAACAAGGAAATGGATGATCAGATGGTAAACAATGAGCACCGCCTATGAACTCCCGTGATACCAAAGGAGAACCAAAGTGCTTTGAAGACCATTGATGATAAAGATTTTATTTAAAGGTATTTTCTTTTCTATCTAGGGAGGCAGGTACGCGCATCCTATATACTCGAAAGTAGGTGGATGGCCACCGACTATTGAGAAGGTGTTAGAAGAAGTCAGTTTAAAGAGAGGATACCCAAGGTCACAGCTGCCTCCGTTCACACCGGAAGAAATTGAGCTCATTAAAGGTAGATTTTCGTTCTCAGCTTCTCACATACCTAGGTATGTTCTAGTAAATTCTACATCAGCTGGTTCTACATTCCAGAATTAAGTAAAAAGTGTAAATGGGCTTTTTGAAAATCGAAAGGCGTAACAAAGTATTAAGCTTTTAAGATCCTAAATATAAGCATAACACATACCTAATATTGTACGCAGTTAATCAAAGAGGGAGGGATAGTCATTAAGACAAAGATACACTGACTCGCCGGACATATCTGGCGACATCACGAAGTTTTGTTTCACAAGGCAGTCGTAGTCGCATGTCGCGCGATGTTGCCAGACCTGTCGTATAAAGTCCGGCAACATTGAGCTACTTCTCTCGATGTAGTTGGCGATACGTATCGTGCGATGTAACTAGACGTGTCGACCAAAGTCCGGCAACATCGCGCTACTTCACCCAATGTCGCTGGCGACACGTGCCGCACATTTGTCTCTTAGTGTATCCTTGGCTTCATTATCACCATTATTTTAGCCAAATGACATTAACTGCTGAACATAGTAGCGTTCTCAAAGTAATATTCGGTTACATCTGATTATGGAAACCTCAAAAGGAAGGCCTTAGATCAGCAATAGACGTATTATGGCTGATGATTATTTTTTTCATTATAGGAACCTATGACTACTTCGCATTCAACCACTACACTAGTCGTCAGATCCGTCCAGCGAAGGAGGGTGAGCTGTTCACAGCCTGGCCGCTAGGTGACGCCATCGATTTGAACGCCATCGTTGAGAGAAAACCGGAATGGTCACAAGCTTCTTCTTCTTGGTTTTATGTAAGTATATTTCCATTAGCCATTATTCCATTATATTAGTTAAAATGGCAATATGTACTACTTAGAACTTGTAGAAGACGCCAGCCATTTAGAGCATATGGGTCCATGTGGACTTAATGTCCTAAAATAATCTTGTGCAGTACGCACATCCGTGCGTACGTACAGGACGACTCCGACAACTGTCCAACGTGTCGTAGATCCCAACACAAAATAATGCTATACCTCAAATTATTGTTCCGAGTCTGGATGTGATGCGTAGTACATATTATTTGATTGTAAATCCACCCACGATACAGGAGCGAAATCCTAATGTGCAGTGATGTTTTATTTTAAGAACAATTGATTTCCTATCCTCAAAAATATAATTATTATTTAGTATCTCAGGTAGATGGCTACCTGAGAAACCTGGCTTTACCTTCTTATGACGTAAACTATTTCAATCCCACAGGTAAATCCTGAAGGTCTGCGCAAGGACCTGGTCTGGTTGAAGCACCAGTACGGAGATATGGAGTTCATGATTACTGAGAACGGACTGGCGACAAGAGGAGGACTGGATGATCAGGACAGAGTCCAATATTATAGGGATTATTTGGAACAGGTGAGCCATGCTATTCACGCAGATTTTTAAATTAGCACGGGTAACTCACCCCTCGACCAGAACCAGACCCGAGCGTAAGGCGCGTCGCGGTCTGAGCGCACCTCACAGAGTCATCAGACCACCACACATTGGGGCTTAGTAGGGCTGATGCCGATATGGAGCGGCGGAGGAATTAGCGGGTTGCCAGGGCTCCGGCTCGAAGTGCCGGAGTAGGAACGGGGGGTTTTTAGTCAGTAAAGTCTGAGACTCCCTCTCGCCTCACACGGGCGGAAGAAGTCATTGGATGATATTCCCCTTCAAAAAAGGGAATCTGTAGTTATCATTACTTGGTTTACTGATACCAACAATACCAGCTTAGTTCTCTACCGTATGATGACGGCAACATACCGACCGTCAATGATGGCAAACTACTTAGAATGAATTTGTCACTACCTTTTCTCCCCGCCAGTGTCATAAGGACAACAAATTTTATTTCTTTTTGATTGGCAACAGTCTCCCATTAAAGTTTTGTCGACTATACTGCCAGTGCCGGGTGATGAAGGCAGATAAAATTTTATAGAGAACAGTGCTCTTTGACAATTCCGAATCTTTCATACTGCGATCTCTAATCAGCCTGCGAACCATGTACAGTATGGCATACCCTAATATGTAGCGGAAGCCCGTAGACCACCTGGGTGCCATAGGCTATTATGATATGAAATTCCATTTTTTTCTTTTTTTGCAGGTCCTACTGGCCATCAAGGAGGATGGTGTCAATGTGACAGCTTACACTGCCTGGACACTCATGGATAACTTTGAGTGGATGAATGGTTTCGGGTAAGTTATCATTGTCCTACTTAATTGGGTACTTTCCTTAATCAAAAATAAATTATTTCCACTGTTCAATACAATAAAATATTAAAAATTAATCACACTTTCATTTAATTGATTTTATGACCAACTTAATTTTAGTACTTATATTTCCAGCATTATTTTAAGAAATAAGTAGAGGTACATACGCTATTTTCGCTAAAACAACGTGACGTTACAATACACAATCTCGTGCAAAAATCATAGAAAACTGTTGTTTTTGATATTTCGTAAAATTATTAAATTTTACTAGTTACCAAGTACCCAATTAATGTAGAATATTTCCTCATATATCAAAAACAAAATTTTCTTCAATTTTTATCTTCAAGATTATTTAAATCATCTTACATCTTACATAGGTCTATAAATAGTGCAGCCATGGATTTTCACAACTCCTTAACGTTTTTTTGACATTATCATTAAATTGTCATAATTTCTTTTCCAGTGTGAAGTTCGGTCTATACGAAGTGAACTTCACAGATCCGGGGCGCAAGCGCACACCGCGTGCGTCTGCGCATTACTACGCTAACGTTATAAGGACACACTCACTTGATGTACCTACGACGCAGAATACAGTTTAATATTTACTTAAGTATTTATTTATGACATATCTACACATGTACCTATTAAATTAAACCAGTCTTCAAAATCTGTATTTTTTTTTTTCATGGCTTAGGCCAACGTTCAATTGGTACTAGGTGATTGGCAAAGTAATGACCAACATCAGAAAAATATATAAAAATAAAATAAAAAAAATAAATAAAATTTATTAAAAACAACATAGAACACATTTAGAATTACAGTTCGCTCAGATTTTATAGTAATAAAAAGTCTTAATAATAACACTCGTAATAGTTTACTTAATCTAGTCTTATACAATATACATGCGAGGAAATAACGTTCTAAGTATACAATATATAGGGATTACCCGAACTAGGTTTATTTAAACCTGTGTTTCAGGCTATCAATGCCAAAAAAAATGATTTGATGGATATAATTATAAATAAAAATCGTATTGCACAATTATTTAAAGACCAAGCAAGGACAACCTGTCCTAAATTATGAAACAAACAACACTATACTAGTTAATATGTAGATTTATCACTAAAAATAAGCAGTTTATTTTAACACTTCTAGTAATTTTTCCGTTTCTGAGTAATTGAGGGACTGTAAATATTCTGTAAGTATTAGATTACACTTATATAAACTTACACTATAAACTTTTAACAACCTGTTGAGTTTGTTATATAAATATGGTCCTAAAAACAAATAAAATCTGTTAGTAAAAGCATGTTTCGTCTGAGGGTTAGTGCAAACTAAATCCTTTCTTCTCTTGTCGGAAGATATCGGGCTAAAACCAATTTCAGTATGCTGCAGCAGTACTACGTTAAGGATGAATAACTGGCGTACTGTCAGTACTTTGCATTCCCTGTATAGCTGTTGAGTAGGAAACTTGAAAGGACGAAAGGTGGCGACCTTCAGAATTGCTCTTTGGGCACGTTCTAGGGGCAGGAGAATAGTTTTTAGAGCACCACCCCATGAGTTAATACAGTAGGCAAGAATGGATTGACATAATGCCATATATACCTGGCGGATTAAGGCAAAGTGTTTTTTTTTTTTTTAAGGGGGGAAAATCATCGAATGACTGCTCCCGCCTGGGTGAGGCGGGAGGGAGTGTCAGACTCTTACTGACTAAAAACCACCCCGTTCCTTCTCCTGCACGTCGAGCCGGGCATTCAGGCATTCAGGGATTGGGAAAGGGGGAGGAGGGGTAATTAGGCCTACGGTAACCTCACTCACGCGACGAAACAAATACAAAGTTGTTTCACGTCGGTCTTCCGTGAGGTCGTGGTATTACTCCGGTCGGGCCGGTCCTTTCGTACCGAAGCAAGGCTCTTCCACACTTAAGTATACTTTTCAAATTACGGTGATTCATGTTTTAGCTTCTGTCGCTACAAATCTTTACTTATTCGTCTGTATTTTGTTTCGTATTATTCTGAATAGTGTTTCGTCATATAGAACCTTAAATTCTTAGGCCACTGCTTCAGTTGTGCGTATAATTAGATATGATTTCATACTTCTATCACCATACTTATATGTTCTTCTGCAAAAAGGTGATAATATATGTATTTAAGAACAGTTAGGCTTGCTAAAGTTGACTGAAGGTTCATGCATATAAAGGAAAAATAAAACACAAAAACTATTCACACTAATTTTATTAATAGACAAAATGAAAAAACAATAACAATTCGCAACGTAACGCATAAATATATCACAAAATATCCGCTAGCGAAGATTCACTTAATCACTTGCAATGCCGTGCTAATAATGCCTTAGTTACGAACTTTTTGATGAACTTCATAATAGTCTTAAGTTCGTTGCCTGTTGGAAAGTGCGATTATAGTCAGAGATCTTACAGAATTCGATTATTTTTTTATAACTATGGCTGGTTTCTCAGTATTTTAACAGACTTCAAAAAAGGCGTATTTCTACTGGTACGGGATACATTTCTTATTATATTAGTATTACTAGCGGTGCCCGCGAATCCGTTAGCGTGGAATAGTGATTTACTGCGCTTACCCCGTAGGTGATAGCGTGATAATATGTAGCCTATATGTTGACCCGACCTGTTAGTAACAATCATACGAAATTTGAAGTAAATCACAAAATAAGGTACATAAGGCGGACTTAATGCCATATGGAATTTTCTCCCAGTCAACCTTTTTTCTTTTTAAGGGGGGAAAATCATCGAATGACTGCTCCCGCCTGAATAAGGCGGGAGGGAGTGTCAGACTCTTACTGACTAAAAACCACCCCGTTCCTTCTCCTGCACGTCGAGCCGGAGCCCCGGTTACCCGTTAGGTTCTCCGCGACCCCAGTCAACCTTTGGTTTAAATGTAAGGTGAGCGAAAATAGGCTTGTATAATATCCAAGTATGTCTCGCGAAGGTTAAGGTTTAAGAAATATAAACCTTTTCATGTCTAATTGACACGTGGTAGTAGTGTATTATTAAATTGTTACTCATAAAAATATTCATTTTTTGTACCTACTCCTTCTAATCCTACACTTTAAATAATATCAAAATCGAAATACCTAAATAATATTGCAGATTAACGGATCTTAACTATATTTATTCGATTCAGAGAGCCCTAGTAAAAGGACTATTATTAAGTTCATCAAAAGTTCTTGCCTAACAGTGTCCTAGCGCTAATAGAATGGAGTGCGCGTTAATATACCTAGTAATTTATATTAATAATCATCACAACACTTATTATAATGTAATTATTATACTCTACACGATACAATTTCAAAATATATCCTTTGCTTGTTATACAACAACAAAATAATCGATTTATTTTGTATTATTATGAAAAAATATTAAAAAACGTCTTAGTATGTCAGTGTATTGCTAATATTATAATAATTAATAACAAATTTGTCGTACCAACGTAACTAAAACAAATGTATGAGCTTTAAAAAGTGTAATAAAGTTATTTTTGTCTTATATTTATGCTGAAATACTCAATTTTGACCTCATTCTGATTTAGACAGAAATATTTTAAAAGTCTATCATAAAGTTCAAAACCGTTGAGTATTAGAGCATATTAATTTTTTTTTATTAAAAATCACAATACAATAGCGTCTTATAATAATCTCAACATTCAGTAACAAGCGACCACAAAAAGCAATCTTATTGCTTAACAAATAAGGCATGATTTTTAGTATCATGTTATGTACTTAACATTTTTCTTATAAATCAATAATATCAAAATATACAATTAAAAACCAATTTTTATATAAATAAATAGTAAAAAATGTTACCAAATAATAATAATAAATTATCATTTTGAGTTTTTGAGCTAATCCGTGCTAATAAAGTGTAAGATCTTATAACATTTTCCCAAAACAATATCAATTTTGTTATTCAACCAGCAACGACGCCAGCTATGCAACTATCAAAATACCAGACAAAAACCAGGAAACAGTGACCGGTAGCTTAAAATAATAGTCTTGGACAAGAATATTGAAAAAAGAGCCGGACACAGTCTGTTGAAACAATGACTGTGGCACCTGGCTACTATAGACTTACACGCAGAACATGCACACATTGACACGAAGGACATCTGTCATTTTCTTAAGTCTGGTAACGTGGTAGTAACCCATTATATACGCACACACAAAAAAAAAAACCACTAATATTTTGGTGCTTCAACCATTTCTGTCATTATGTCCGCCGTCAGGTATCAAGTGACATTATACCCGCCTTCGTTTCGACGTACATATTACTAAATAACTACCACCAATTGGTTCAATTTTAAGTCGTGCTTAAATATCGTGCCATCTCTGTCATTTTACAAAGAGTTAGTAGTGACAGAACTATACTTAAGGGCGACTTAAAATTGAGAAGCGTTTCAGTATTCCGACATTAGTCTTAAAATATATAATTTAGGAAAAGGTTAGAAGACCTTACCCCACTGACTTATGTCGAGTCTTTAGCAATTCTCAGAATTTTATTTTGTTTAGAATTATAAACTATAGTTCCTATTCTCCCTCAGAGGGCTAAGTACGAGTAAGTACCGCGTTGGACGCTCTGATTGGTTGGTTTATTGGAGCCAGCCAATCAGAGCGCTGAGCGCTGTGCTTGCTTAGATTTCTTTAAACGTAAAACAAACTCGTACTTCGCTTTAGATCGTCACCTCTTTATAATATCAATGAAATACACACAAAACATATTAAAATATTACTCAATTTTCTCATTCATAATAACATCTGTGTCGCTACCATAATGGACTTCAAAAGTGCCACTAAAAGTGTAATCACCCAGTGAATTTAATGTGCTGTCGCTATAAAGTACCAAAGTGGTACTTCTTCTAATCTACATTGCCGACAAAACTATTCACGAAGGCACTGTCGTAAGTGTTTTACAAAATACTGAAAAATAAATAAGCTACTTATTATATTATGAACGTTGTACTTTAAAATACTGGTGTTATCATTTATTATGCGTTATGAACTTTAATGTTAAGTAATAAAGTTTGTTTACTAATAAAAAGAAAATCTAAAAATTCTATTTAGGTATGAATATTTTATTGTTTTCTCAGTTGAAAGTATTTAAAAAATAATCACATTGTTTTGGTAACTAATAGATTAAATAGTTTGTTTCATAATAGTAGACTAATGGCTATGTCATTGAAATTAAACAAATGTTTGTCAACAATCGACGTTTATAGGACCAGAGCTAGCCTTCTAGACTTTAAATTTAATGCACTAGATAAAAATCGATTCGTAAAATAGGAATCGTGCTTGGTGTTTCAATAAATGTGATATGATTTCCTAAAATACTATATTTATGTTGCCTCATATGCTAATATTACAATAAATATGCGGCTGAACTAAGCTATCTAGCATTTCGCAATTAACTCCTAGTATTAAATTGATTATATTGCCTTAGAAACTATAAGCGCAAGTTTGCGCAGTGTAGCGCACTTAGCGCAACTTAGCGCAAAATATCAGTTACAAGGCGCTAAATAAAAAATTTCTTAAATAGAAATTGATTTGTTTTGTCTCTAAAAATACTTTTAACGACTTTATAAAGAATACATCTTTAATTATAATAATATTTGTGTGTATGGAAGTTTTGTGACAAAATACTGAAGCATTTTGTTTAATGATATGTGTTTTGGCAAATTAAGGACGATTATTTTTGTTTGTTTTTTTTAAGATAAAAGTGACTTAGAAATTAATTTTGGTTGTAAGTTTTTGATATACGCATATATGTATATCATATTTAATTTTGCTGGTTTACCAGTGCCATATTTAAAATTATGTTTTGTATATAAATTGAATTTGATTCTGTGGAACTTTACTTAATGAGGGCTAACGATTTTTTCCTTATCATAGGGCGCAAAGAGATTTGTAGTCCTCACAGCAGTTGTCAAATATTCAACGTCTAATAGAGTCTTATCGTGGTGGCCCAGAGGTTTAAGATGCCCGCTTCTTATGCATGAGGGTGCGGGTTCGAACCCTACCAACGGCAAGTACCAATGTGACTTTTTTCGAGTTATAATTATGTATTTTCTAAGATTATCTAGACACCACTGACAAACGGTGAAGGAAAACATCGTGAGGAAACCTGGACTTATTATTTCTAATTATAAGTTTGTAATCCCCAACCCGGATAAGCAGTTAAATAATATCATAAGCTAAAATATCTCCTAAGTAATGCCACTTTCATCATTTAATGTCAAGCTATATAAAATGTAAAATTCGACGTTTTGACCTATCTCTAAAACTAGTTATAATCGGACAGTGGGTTCTTAATCCCAATGGTGGGACACCCATAGAGTGGATGACGAGAAATATTCACAACAGTAAGATTTAAAGTATTTGACGGAAGACTAGGCCTATGATATAATTAGAATGGAGACATACATGACTATCTTCAGCGTTTTAATATTTAGATTGTGTTTTCGGGTCATTTAATAGAGCATTACACTAAGAAAACTGTTTTGTACACGTTTAACCTCTTGACTGCCGGTATATAAGACACAATAGAAAATGCATTGTGTCTCGCGTAGATCTACGTTCCGGCAAACGACGGGTTAATGGTATATCTGATGTTTAAGCTATCTTGGATTATACGTAGGATACTCTATGAAAGTTGTCAATGTTACATTTTATGCAAGAATGGGATTTAAATCATTAATTTCAATATTAGACATGCCTTTTAGCCCCCATGGGGTAGACAAAGGTGCACATTACGGTACTTAATGCCACTGCTCAATGTAACACGCCCTTTTCACCATTTATGTTATAAGTCCCATGGAATAGGGGGTAACCCTATTGCCATATACCGGGCACAATGCTAAACTCCGTGCTATTACTGAGATTTTTTTGAAAATCTCAGTAATACTTTACCTTATGCACTGCAGTCACACTTGTGACAACCCGGCCAACGAGGCAGACAGTTTCAATATTAGAATCTTGGCTATTTGAATGTAGAGTCAAGTATATCTTCAATCTATTATAATTGAAGCCTAAAAGCGTTTTAATGCTAGTTATTCGAAATAAGAATAAGACCACTATAGTACTCTGACTTGAATTACTGAAGAACCTTAGTCCCACGCTAGAATTTTCTCCTTTGTCATGGTCATCACAACCCGACTCAGAATATACCAACCAGACTCAGTATATGGCTTTAGGTATCCCCGAAACCTGTGATCACTGGGAACGAGTAACGTCCTAACACTTTGATTACCAAGTTTAAAATGGTAAAAGTCAAACCTGTGGAGGATTGAGCGGTTTGACAGGCACCGGTGCAAGGCGTTAGTAGTAGCGGTGCCTGACGTAGTACTCTAAGGCTAAGGACACACGGCACGATTTTCTCCGGCGCCCGCCGGGTGCGGGCTCGCAGCCTTTGTAGGATACAGATTTGTATGTAAAAAATCAAAGCAATTGTCACGGCGCGTTTATATAGCCGCGGCGGTTGGCACTGTTTGCGGCTCCCGCTGCACCGTCAGACGTAGTCCAGGCCCGCAGCTGCTGCGGCTAGTAGCTGCGCGATCTATAATCGGTAGGCAATGGGACGGCGTGTCTTGCGATAATCAACCGCCAAGTTTGCGGGCAATAAAAAAAAAAAAAAAATCGCACGGCTGCCGGACCGCAGAAAACTGAGGTCTAGTGAGTTTTTAAAGTCCCGCCTCCATTCCGCCGCCACGGCGGTCGCGGGAGAAAATCGCGCCGTGAGTTCTTAGTCTAAGGGTTAAAATGAGTACTTAAGCTTTTAACTGCCAACAAAACCTATTAAAGGCTAATCCTCCGCTAGCGTCGGACATCATTGTCAGACACGGCATCCAATGTGTTAACTGTAATCCTGCTAAGCTTGGAGAGTATGACTAACCTCCTTTGAGCTTTTGTTCAGCAGTGGACGTTCTCAGTAAGAATTAGTACCTACTATAGTGGCCCACGTAAAATATATTGAATACTATGCATGAGGTAGATATCTATTCCGACCTGGCTTGATCTTGATATAATTGAACGTAAAATAGACGGAATTTTACTTAACATAGGTGGCGCTGTTGTAGTATTAAAGTGACCAACCCTTTAACTTTAAAACTTATATTGAAATTGTAAATAATATTACACTATTATCACAATGAGAGGTAATTAAAATTATCGAGAACTGGCATTCGTATGTTTTGTCTCCTTCTAACTGATAGATAAGTTAAAGTGAGAAAAAGACAGATATATGAGTTACATCACATAAAATTATATATAACACAACTTTTCAACGATTTTATACTTAATTGTACATTATAATGCCTTTAAAACTACACCAGCGCCACCTAGTAATGTAACTACGCGATTAACAATAAGAATTATGCGATTAAAAAATTCGTTTATGAAGAACTCGATTTTCATATTTTTTGAAGGCGACTAACAATTTTGATCATAAGATCTAAGTGTCCTGCTTATACCTCTCTCAGATTGAAGCTCGATATTATTATGTTAACTTTCTACCAATCCAATTTAATGGTTGAAGTGAATAAAAATGTGCGATCGCCAAAACAAGGGATTTTGAGTTTGTCGAGCATAAATATATTTGTTATCATGTTTTCGGCTTACTCACGTAATTATTTGACGAGGAACTCGACTACAGTACTGCTACAACAGTAGCAGCGCGACAGTCGCCGCGTCGCGGGTCGCGAAATGCTGCTCATGAATATGAGCCTCTAGCATGCTTTGAAACTAGTCGAGTTCCTCGTCAAATAATTACGTGAGTAAGCCGAAAATATAATAATTTATTTAGTATGTCTCACAAAAGTTATAATACAAATATATTTGTTGTTTTTACTTATTGCGAAGTAGAAATAACTATCACAACAGTAACTCATAGGCATGAGGCACAATTCATTCTAGATGCTATTCAGCTACATACTTTTAAATATTAAAAGGCGGCAAACGACGCCAACTATGGATACTTGGAACTCCGAAGGAATTAGAAGGGGTTACCGAAAACTTAAGTGTGATAGAGCCATGCTTACGAATGGGCCGGCTCGATTAGAGTAATGCCACGGCCGAGCAGAAAACCATAGTGAAACAAATTTTGCGTTTTGTTTCGTCGTATGAGTGTGGTTACCGGAAACTCAAATACGGGAGGTATACCCAGTCTCCCCAGTCCCCGAACCCCCACATTACCAATTCCCAAAAGGCCGGTAACGCACTTGTAACGCCTCTGGAGATATAAGTAACCATGGGCGACGCCGATTGCCTATCAGGTGATCCGTCTATTCGTTTACCGACTTATCGCATAAAAAAAACTTTATTCACTTCAACCAAAACGCAAATTCACCATCTACAACTACATTACTACACTCAAACATTTTCTACATTAACGCTGTAATCAATCAAGTAATATCTTCCCTGTCGCCTCCTTAATCGATGTAATATCCAGAATCTTAAAACAAACTCACCATATATCAATAATGTCACTGAAATGTTTACTTTGAGCTTGCATGCTTTACATTTTAAAACTCTACTTCGTTCGCTTACAACGCAAAACAAATTTTATTTTGTTGCGAAAGTTAATGGGCGTTCAATACGAAATTTCACCATTTCTCAAATCAATTTTAAACATTGCAGTGACAAAATTGTCTTTTCAAAAATAACAATTCAAAAGTCAATAATAAAAACATAATATGTAACAATTTCCGCAACAAAATAATCATTCCTTCACTACTCTTAGTAGACAGACACAAAAATCCAAAAATTAATCAATTTGTGTGGTACTTTTTAGTACCACACAAAATACAAAAATAAATTAATTAACACACAAAAATTGGTACCGTTGTACAACCGAAATATCACTAAAAGGTCTTTGGTACCTTGGAACTGATCCTGTAACTGTGGTACCAAGTGGCGTAGTGTCAAGTGGTACTTAGAGTGCTACTTCTGAAAGTGCCGGTACCAAATGAAGCAGCCGTACAGGGAAGGTAGATCTTAGGGTGAACCTTCATCATCCACTTCACGGATGACGGTGTCGGATTCCCAGCGAGTACGCTCTGCGATTAAGGCTTGTAGTTCCTGTAGACATAATTTTAATATTAAGTTTAATAACGGCGTAATATGACATTATGTTAAGGGCAATACCCATTTTTTTGTTTCTCCCATGTTATGGTGAACAAAACCATTACAATAAAATAAAGAATCATGCTTGAGGTAAGACATCAAGGTTTTAATTAATGGTGATCAATGTTTTGTTTATTAATTTTAAGGTACGTATTATGATTGAAATATTACTATGTCAGGGTAACCAGAGTTGACATAATATGAAAGTAAGTAACCTAGAATGAAAAAAAATGGAAAAAGAGATGGCGTTACTTGCGTGCTCTCTGCTTATGATATTATATGAAGAGAGAGAGAGAGAGAGAGAGAGAGAGAGAGAGAGAGAGAGAGAGAGAGAGAGAGAGAGATAGGGGGGGGAGGGAGAGCGAAAATACAATTTAAATAATCAGAATTGTCCAATATGTCGTCCTGTTATTTAAAGTTAATGTTATAATACAAAAAACATGAATTGGAAAATATGGTAAAACTCCCGAGAGAACTGAGAAAAAAGGTCACGAAATGAAGGGGAGATGTTTCAACATGAACATATAAAACTTTCAGAAATAGACGATTACGCTGTGTTGTACGTAGAGAACAAGAAAATAAACTGTTTATGTATGTACGTGTATTGGAAACAAATATAATACACAAATATGAATACCACATGAAAGAAAGATAAATGAATTTCGAAGAACATTTTCCCAAAACTAGTTTCGAAAATATCGGGGAGGTACTTACAAAAATAGTCTTTATTTACTTTGTTACACAAGCTTTAGTCGGTAACCATCAGAGGGATTAGTTTTACTCAGATTTCCCATTCATTATCACTTCTGGATGATCCTATTTGGTGAGTGAAACAAAAAAAAAACAAAAATTAGAAAAAACAATATATACATAACGAAAACCCAAAAGTTCAAAGTCAAAGCATTCATTTCAATTAAGGCATTGGCTGCCAATAAAAAACTGTTGAAGGCAAATCCTCCGCTAATGTCGGTCACCGGTGACTGCCATGGCGTTTAACGTGTTAAACCATAATTTGGTACTTTTCAAACGTCAACAAATACTAAATAAATAATAGTCTGTCAGTCAGTCCGTCAGTGAAGCTAGGTGAAGCTAGGTGCTCATTTATTATTGATTTGTACGCTCTTTCAATATTAGTAGGGTACTTGATAGTCAAAAATCATAATTATTCTATAAGTTAAGCTATAGTAAAGTGACGTCATTTCTGGCGACTTTTTAATAATTATTCCATATTAAATAATAATTGTTTAGTATCAAAGCCCAAATGTGCAAGGTTCTGCGTCAATTTTAAACACCTCGTCTAAGAAAGATTTTTTAATAAGGCCACCATTATCACTATCTAATGACTAAAATAAATTAAAAATTCATTCGAATACATTACATTATCATATATCACATAAAAACAGGGTTTAACATAAACGTCACGCCTTTTAAGCCCCGATGCAGAGGCGGAAGTGCACATTACGGCACTTAATGACACTGCACAATGTAACACCCACTTTTCACTATTTATGTTATGAGTCCCATGTAATAGGGGATCAGCCTATTACCACATACCGGGCACAATTCCAGACTCCATGCTACCACTTAGATTTATTAAAAAATTCTTTAATACTTAGCCCGACCCGGGAATTTAACCCGGAAGTCGACCCTTTGCCCGGCAGTTGCACTTACGGCCACTCGGCCAACGAGGCTGTCATTACGGGGTCAAGTATCAAAAACGGAGTTGTTGTGATAAATAGAAATGACACTGACCTCTGGTTTATTGAGCACTATGATCCTGTTTTCCAGTCTCGGTGCTAGCTCACAGGATTGTTGTTCCAAGTCATCCAGAGAGGCTCGCCGCGTTAACCTGAATATACAGAAGGTGAAACATGTATTTTTGTTAAGGGGGGAAAATCGTCGAATTCCTTCTCCCGCCCGGGTGAGGCGGGAGGGAGTGTCAGACTCTTACTGACTAAAAACCACCCCGTTCCTACTCCTGCACGTCGAGCCGGAGCCCCGATAACCCGTTAAGTTCTCCGCCGCATGTATAACGACGAGATTAGTTTTCTTTTAAATAAATGTATTTTTGATATTGTTAAGTAATTTAATTTACAGGACGAAATTAAACAACGGTATCAAATAAACGAAACTTATCTGTAATTACAGTTTAGGATAAAACTTAAAAAGAAAACCCGACATAGTACAACAAGGATTAATATTAAACACAAACCACGAGAAGAATAAGAGAAAATGTAGATTTGGGCTCCGCACACACATACATATGTATATATACAACAGACTAGTAATGCCCACTGCTGAACAAAGCCTCTTCTCACACGAAGAACTGGTTGCTTATGAAAAGGATTGGCCTCAGATATCTATAAGAAGAGACGAGTGAGACTCCCGCCTGGGTGAGGGACGTGGAAGTGAGTCTCAGACTCTTACTGACTAAAAACCACCCCGTTCCTACTCCTGCCTTCGGAGCCCCGGTAACCCGTTAAGTTCTCCGCGGCTCCGTATCGGCATCAGCCCTGTTGGACCCCATCCGTGGTGGTCTGATGGCTCTTCGTACGCTCGACGCCGTACGTAGGGTAGGGAGACCATGGCCCTGCAGTGGGACGTCGAAGGCTAAATAAATAAACGTGAGTTACCTGTGATGTCCAGTGTGCGACATTGGCTCGGCGGCGGCGGACGACGCGCGCCGCAGTGGCGGGGGACCGTCCAACTCACTGCCGTCTAACATCTTCACTAGACTGTGTCTGCAAATATTATTGATAGCTTTACATTATGTTGCTGTAAATTAAATTCCACCAAAAACATTCTGTAAAAAACTAGCCAAGGCTCGATGGAGCTGCTAGTCTATCTCTAAAAAGTAATGAAATATAACAAAGTCGTGCCAAGTCTAAGGTTCCTTATTGCTATTTCTTTATTATTATAGTTAATAGTTAATGTTTTGTGACTTTGCCGTTGAAGGGTATAAAACCAGACACAAGGGTATAAAACCAGGTGCTTATATGTATAATGTGTATTTACAGATGTGAATAGATATTGAGAAATACTTTTTCTTAGTCAAGTGATTCATGTCACTCGTGAACCTCACCCTCAGACTTCATCAACAACCTATAAGTGGCCACTGCTGACCAAAGACCTCTTCTCACACGGAGAAGGTTTGAGCATTAATCACCACGCTTGCTCAATGCAGATTGGTTATTACAAACTTAAAATAAATAATTAGAAATTATAAGCACAGGTTTCCTCACGAAATTTTCCTTCACGGTTTGTCAGTGGTGTCTAGATAAGTTTAGAAAGTACATGTATTGCATAGCTCGAAAAAAATCACATTGGTACTTGCCGTTGGTAGGTTTCAAACCCACAATCTCATGCTTTCATTACCTACTCGTAATTGAATAATTCGTAAGAATTGTGGAACACTGTATCAAATCAAAATAGTGAAAAGTGGGTGTTACATTGTACAGTGTCCCTACCCCTTCAGGGATAAAAGGCGCGATGTTATGTATAGTCTACAAAATCAATATACCTACAATACAAGGCCACAGTACCTCCGACTGAGCGTGACGAGTGACTGTCGATGTTTGCTGGGCCGCGACCGGCCGGTGCGGACGTTGATGGCCGCGAAGTGGTTCTGGATCGCCATGCCTATCTCCGGACACATGTCTTCAGGGATCTGGAAGTAAAGACATGTTATATATTTTCAATATATAATACAATCATTATTTATCGTGTGATTTAAAGAAGCTAGTCAGAAACACACTCATATATTTTAAAAACAAAAGATGAACATAAATAGGTTCTATTGAAAGTGGCCAGCTTGCCACAGATAACATAAACATATATAACAAGACATAATAATATTTAGGGGCACTCTTAAAATGCTGTTCTAGATGGGATTTTTTTTAATAACGACTGACATATCGATAGATGCCCAAGATGAAATCTCCTATGTGTGGTTCATCAGAAACAGCTAAGAGCCGGAGATTGTGGCATGCTCCTAAAGTATGTACCACAATCACATAAGCATTATACCTGTAGAAGACTACATAATAAAATAACTCCGCTTTCTCTACAGCAGCTGTAGCCAAATTCCATTTAGCGCTTGTCTACATATAGAATAGAAAACTAAATTATATGGAATTGACGTAAATTTTGACACTTGTCAGTGTCATCCCCATACATTTTTTAGTTTTCTACTATCTCTGTAGACAAGCGCTAAAGTGGCGTTTGGCTAAAGGCACTGGTGTGGGAATTATTTTTTTTGCCTAAATACTCATAAAAATATACTTTGTAGTGCTCTGGCACTTTAACTATTTATATTACAAGAAAGTTGTCGAGGCGTTAATTGTAGAAAATTGTGATTAGTTTAACTTCGTATTTAACTATTTTCTCGTAAAACGCACAGGGAAACAGATATTGTAAAAAAAATCTTTTTATTTTATTTTATTATGGGATAAAAACCCGGTAAACGAGCAGACGGATCACCTGATGGTAAGCAATCAGCGTCGCCCATGGACACCCGAAACACCAGAGGCGATACAAGTGCGTTACCGGCCTTTTGGGGATTAGGAGTTTGAGGATCGCTGGGGATTCAGGAATTGGGGAGATTGGGGAAGGGGAGGATAATTGGGCCTCCGGTAATCTCACTCACACGACGAAACGCAACGCAAGAGTTGTTTCACGTCGGTTTTCTGCTCGAAGCATGGCTCTCCTACACTTTCAGTGGAAGTCAGTTTGTTTACACGTTTATAAAATAATTATTTAATATATAACCTTTTTGGTACGAACCACGTCCGTCTAGGGCGCTCTCTACTTCATCATCTATCGTACTTACCAGTATCTTACACTTAGGCAGCATGGTAAATCCATCGTTCCCACTATGAAGGTACTGCTTGACAGCCAGTCGGTAGACCTGCTCCTTCTGCAGGTACTCGTCTCCTATCTTCACGACCTGCTCCGCCACTCTCTGACCTGCAGGCTTTGAGGGGTCGAAGGCGAAGGATACTCCTGCAACCTGGAGAATAAGTATGTTATGACGAATGATGATAATAGTATCAATCAATGGCTAAGTTTTTGTGTCCGTCATTATAATTTATAACCAAACAAAAACATGACAGCACCGGTTATAAATTTTTTTTTTTATGGCATAAGCCGGTAAACGAGCAGACGGATCACCTGATGGTAAGCAATTGGCGTCGCCCATGGACACCTGGAACACCAGAGGCGTCACAAGTGCGTTACCGGCTTTTTGGGGATTAGGAGTTTAAGGGTTGTTGGGGATTCAGGGATTGGGGAGATTGGGGAAGGGGAGGGTAATTGGGCCTCCGGTAACCTCACTCACACGACGAAACACAACGCAAACGTTGCTTCACGTCGGTTTTCTGCTCGGCCGTGGTATCACTTCGGTCGAGGCGGCCCATTCGTGCCGAAGCATGGCTCTCCCACAGTTAAATATAATAGTTAACTATTAATCGCGGGTTACTCACGTGAATATACTGAAAAAGCTCTACTAGTTTCGAACCACAGCGGGGTTCCTACACTAGTAGTACCATTAGGCTGCGCATCGGCGCAACCGTACACGCAACTAGTAGAGATTTTCTCAGTATATTCACGTGAGTAACCCGCGATTTTTAGTTAATTTAGTTTGTCTCACGATAGTGATTATAAAAATATAACAGTTCGCGCAGCTCCGCCTCGCCTTCCCGGTCGTATTGTAAAGTGTCCTACACTTCAATAGGTTTCGACAGTTTGTTTTTCGTGTCGCGCTACACCACTCTGCATTTGCGTCTAGATCGCCTACGCGTTACAATATACATAAAAACGATAATAATTCTCTCCACTTACCTGAGGAAACCGTCCCTCCAAGCTCGGGTATTTAGACACCGAGTTCTCTAAGACTTGCAGTATGACCTCCCCGGTGGCTTCCACCACTACGAGTGGGTCCCGCATGGGGATTATTGTTGACAGGTCTCGGAGAGTAAAGTCACCGGCTGCGTGGACCTGTAATTGCGGTAATTCGGCATTAAAGAGGTAGGTAACAGAACGTTTTCACACGTTCCGATTACCGGATGCCGGGCGGCCATGCTTTGTAGGTTTCACACGTACCGGCGTAGTTTGTATACACTGCGCCGTCGGGTAACCGGCACTGACTACCCGGCAACCAGGATATGTGAAAAGGCACTTAGGGAACGAGATTGTTGCTATTTATGGAAATATGGAAGTTTTGGTGTAGCGGGTTCGATTCCCGCACGGAGCAACTCTTAATGTGATCCACAATTTGTTGTTTCGGGTCTGGGGGTGATATGTATTGTGTATATGAACTTGTATGTTTGTAAACGCACACACGACACAGGAGAAAATCCTAGTATGAGGCAAGGCAAGGCATAAAAAATCACCTATTGGTGATTTGAGTTATAAGACTGCTTTAAAAATGATAGCAGTATACAGTTAAAATATACATTTATAGTTGAATATAATTAAATGTAAAAAAGAAATTAGCCATGCAATCATCTGTCATCTGTTCGGAATGCTAAGCTCATTCGATGACGGTTTCTTTATAGCAGCTGTAGCCAAATGCCATTTAGCGCTTGTCTACTTGTAGAATAGAAAACCAAATTATATGGAATTGACGTAAATTTTGACACTTGTCAATGTCATCCACATACATTTAGTTTTCTACTATCTCTGTAGACAAGCGGTAAAGTGGCGTTTGGCTAAAGGCGCTGGTTTTTTTTAAGGGGGCAAAATCATCGAATGACTGCTCCCGCCTGGGTGAGGCGGGAGGGAGTGTCAGACTCTTACTGACTAAAAACCACCCCGTTCCTTCTCCTGCACGTCGAGCCGGAGCCCCGGTTACCCGTTAGGTTCTCCGCGACTCCGAATCGGCATCGGCCCTATTGGGCCCCATCTGTGGTGGTCTGATGGCTCTTTGAGGCGCGCGCGGAACGCGACGCGCCGTACGCTCGGGTCTGTTTCTGGTCGGACGGGGAGCCACCCATGCTCGCCGTCCGCAGGCCCGCGCTTACGGTGGCCGGAGATCGTCCCGCGATCCCCGACGCCCGGTGTGTCCTTCGCGATGGCTGGGTTGCGAGGAGGCAGCGCTTCGCTGCCTCACGCGTCCCGCCTCCTCCTTAGCTAGCATGACTGCTTCGCAAAAGGAGGAGACGGCATCCCA